CGTAATCCCAGCTGCAGGGAGGGAGGCAAGCCCCACACCTGCCCAGCCACTCAGGGCAGTGTCCTGCTGGCCATTTCCAGGAAGTTGATTTGGCTGTTTTTCCAGGAGAAGAAATCTAGTCCTCTCCAAGGTAAAGGCTAAAGTTGTTTTTCCTTTTTCCTCTTTCCGCTTGGAGCACTGTTGGCCCAGCTGTGAGCCGCTGGCTCGGCAGCCTGCAGTGAAAGGTGCTGAGGATCTGAGCCAGCAGCACCTTAGCTGTGGATTAGTCCAAGTCTGTTACCTGCTTCTGCAGAGTGCTGGGCTGGGAGTTTGGGGCCTGGGGTTCCCGGGAGCTGTCCAGTGATTAAAACAATTGCAGTCATACAGCAAGACAGCAGTTTAGTAAACGGACACAGGCTGGCGTTGGGCCCTGGTAGGGACAAGTGTTACTTAACCCTTTGAGCCACTTATGGTGGGGGAGAGAGTTCCTTACCAGTTTGTCCTTTTTGCTAGACTTAATCCCACACAGCTTGTTAGGTGTGTGACAGGAGGCCCAAGGACCCATTCCCATCTGGACTTATGAAATATGGACTGAACTTCACAGCCTGGTTCCTTCCTTTCAGCTCGGTGCCTGCCTAGCGCCTGAGCAGAACAGCAGGTGGAGCAGCTGTCTGTATGCCCTTCACGTGGGCCACCTAGAGTCTGCGGCTGAGGTGGAACAGGTGTTGCCTGTCATGGAAATGCTTTACATGTCCTATCCCAGCAGATGAGAACGACCAGTGACCACTGGACACTTTTTTTTTCCGGTTGTTTGGTTGGTTTTTTTTATTTTTTGTTTGTTTTTGTGTTTTGTTTTGTTTTGTTTTTGAGACAGGGTTTCTCTGTGTAACACCTCTGGCTACCCTAGAATTCGTTCTGTAGACCAGGCTGACCTCGAACTCAGAGATCCACCTGCCTCCCGAGTGCTGGGATTAAAGACGTGTGCTGCAACTCCCTGGCAGACACCAGACTTTACTGCTAAGAAGGGCTGATGGTGAAATGCTTACTAGAGCATTTCTGGTCTCACCTAATGTGTCAGAAGACTTTTGGGGAGCTGCTGGGAGCCCTTTGCTTGGCAATGGGGAATCGAAAAGTCCTAATGAGTTGTCCTGCTGGGGCCCCGCAGAGCCCACAGTCCTGGTTCCCAGCATACAAGGAAACCCAGCTGACCTACATTCCAGTTTCTGGTTTTCACCAGGATGTGCTGCTCCTCAGTCAGTTCATCCGGCCTCATGGAGGCATGCTGCCCCGGAGGGTCACAGGCTTGTGCACGGAAGAACACCGAAAGATCGAGGAGTGTGTAAAGATGGCTCACCGAGCAGGTCAGAGTGCCCAGGGCTAAGAGGGTGGTGGGACTGCAGGCCCCTCAGCCCAGCCAGCTGTCACAGCCGGAGAGAGGCGATAAGAAGAATACTGACTGTCTGTCCCCCACCCCCACCGTGTCCCCCTGCTCCCCACTCCCATGGTCTTTACCCCTGGCCCTTTCAGAACTGTGGAGACAGACTGACTATATGTTCTTCCACTCAGGTTTGTTCCCAGATCACAGGCCACGGCTTCCAGAAGGGTCCTTACCAAAGAATAAACCCAAGCTCAACCGGTAAGGAAACATGAGCACAACTGACCCAAGCACTCTAAGCCCGTGGATCTCACCGCATCCAGAGAGCTTGTCCCATGGCTCTTACAGCAGCCCATCTTTCCCACCGTGGCTGTACCGTATGCCATCTGCCACCTCCCTCCCTGGCCCATGTCTCCTCTTTTCTGTCTTCGAGGGCCTTGACACAGTTGGGCATTAGAATGTTTTCCTGTTGATGACATCACACCGCATTGCTGTGGGGATGTTGGAGCGCTGCTGCAGACCTGCAGTATCCCAGCTCTCTCCAGCACTGCGGTATTAAAGGGCAGAGCAAGCCTTCGCTGTGGGGACTGTCTGGGTAGGACCACTGTACACGGCATTGCATCAAGGCAGCCTGCACAGAGGCGCCATCACCACCACTGCTCCCTGGAGTCGTGCGGCTAACAGCCTTCACCACTTCCTTGGCATCCTGAGTTCTCCTGGGCTCTCAGGAGGAAGAGACGTGAGGCAGCCCTGCAGCAGCAGCAGGGTAGGCAGGCCCTCTGGAGTGAGAGCAGAGTCTCACCTAACTTTCAGACAGCTCTCCTGTCACAGGCTCCCTCTCCGTGACGTCACCCTCGCAGGCAATTAGATTGTTGAGAGAAGTGTGTGCAGTTCTTGGGCCCCCCAGCGGCTCCTCCCTCCTCCAGTGTGTCAGACTGCCTCTCCTGATAGTGAGAACCGCATACTCTGCAGGGTGACTGAGGCAGAGCCAGACTCCGAAGTCCCCACAGGTCTTTGCAGAGATCCCTACCAGAACCCAGGTGGATGCTGGGAGGCCAGGTTGCTAGGTGGAGAGTGTGAGGTGGGGTAACGTAGGCTTGCTTCTTTGTGCCTTGCCTCCCCATTCCTAGATGCTGAGCAGAGCTGAACTGGGCTCTCTGCCAGCAGCCCCAAGGAGCAGGGCATGCTCTGGTCTGTTTGGGGGTTGAGCCCACCCCCACCCTGGCTCTTTAGAGACAGCAGCAAGCCTGAGGACACAATCCATCCTGCCCTCGGGCCTTTGAAGCTAGGCCAGGCTCCCTCCCTTACATCCGGTGTCCTTTAGTGTGACACAGGATTGATGATGTGTGGGGGCTCTTGAGTTGCAAAAGGCCATCCCTGGGGGAGGGGACATCCTGGCTCAGGAGGTGCTGATCCCTGTACAAGGGATGCTGGGATTGCACCCAAGGGTCCCTGGTCTGCACTCAAGGGCTTAGGCCCTGCTCACTCCCTTGTGTCCTCAACACCCGGGTGCAACAGTATCTTCTCCAGCAGAGGAGATGGTCTCCTCTTTCCTGCTCTTCTGTGCATGGGGATACAGGCCAGTCCTCCTTGCTCAGAAGAGGTAGAAAGGGAGTGATTTAGGAAAGCCTGAGTTCTGACTAGAGCTGAGGGGTTCACAGAGGGCTGACTGGAGGCCACCCAGCCTACCTGTCAGCTGGCTGCTCCGTATGGCACAGGCATCAGGCCCCAAGCTAGCTGAAGGACCGCTGAGGAGGGCAGTTCTTGAGAGTCTGGTCAGCTGGGGTCTTCTGGAGTCCTGGTGAGCACCCTGTCTCATGGGCCTGCACCCAGCCTCCCTCCCCCCTAGGACTGGGAGAAGCCAGCAAGGGCCAGCTGGTGGTGAGGGAGCCTATGCTGGACCAGCCTGTTGTCCTAGAACCACTGACCATAGAGACAGTAGTACCCCAGCCAACTGGGGACGCCTTGCCTTCACCTCCTGAGCCCCGCACACACCAGGGCTGGACCTCCGGGAGCTTCCCCTCTACATAAGGCTATCAGCCAAAGACCAAGGTCCAGAGGAGCACGGAGGAAAGGCATGCATGAGTCAGCAACCCTTTTTTCAGCCAAAGATTTCAGCCAAAAAAAAAATAGATTTTAATTTCTGCCAGGAATACTAGTTTTTAAATTAAGAAGCTTTTACTTGAGGGTCTCTGGAGGCGGCCAGGGCAGGCCTCAACCTCTCATAGAACACGGGAGGACCCCTGGCCTTTGTGGCTGAACTTTGAGGATAAACGATGGGCCTTTATGGTCAGGAGCCAGGTTTCATTATGAACAGAGTAAACCCCGGTCTCGGTGCTGTGAGCCACTTTTCCCGGAACAATCTGGGCCCAGGCTATCCCCAGAGGAGGCCGGAGGACCATGGGTGGCCGCCATCTCTTCCTACCCTCTCCCACTTACAGGAACCTGCTGGCCTGGGACTGCACCCACTGTGTTCATCCCTTGCTTCCCATCGGGTTGGGTGAGGGTCAGGGTCCTGCACCAGTGTGGTCCCCTGAGGCGTTTCCTGGAGGCTGGGGTGTCTAAAGCAGCCAAGTGGGGAAGGCTGCCGGGTTCCCCGCCAGTCTTTATCCTTCCCTGGGTCAGGCTGGAGAGCTGTTGTCCAAGCGTCCTCTTCCTCGGCCCTCTCCCTGAGTGTGGACGGTCTTAGAAAGGTCAAGGGAGCGGCCTGGGCTGACTGACCCTGGCCACACACTCTAACAACGAGAGTCCGTCCATCCGTTTCCAGAACAGCAGTTTCTCCCAGGAAAATCCTTTGCCCTCTGAGAGGAAGACTGGTGGACGAGATGATGCAGCCGCTAGAGCCTGGCTGGGGACAGTGCCCTGCTGTCCCGTTCCGGCATGCCAACCTCCTTGTGTTCCCTCTACAGCTACCTGACTCGCTGGTCTCCCCGCTCTGTCAAGCCCATCTACAAAAAAGGCCACCGTTGGGACAAGGTGGGTATGGCCGTGGGGTCACCACTCCTGAAAGATAATGTCTGCTACTCCAAAAGGCCTTGGAAGCTGTTTCATTAATGGGAGCCGTGCTGTTGAAGAACCTTCCAGATGATACACTTGCCCCTCCCACCAGAACCACTGCCCTCCACACACAGCATGGGAACTTCGGGACTGACTTCTGTTCCCTGGATCTGCCCAGCCACAGTGTTGGGAGCCAGGGCAGGCAGGAGCTGGATCTCCTGCCCTGTGGTCTTCTGTCTGGCTTGGGCAGGAGTCTGACCCAAAGAAATGTAATAAAGCAGGCTCCCGGCTTCCCTGTGTGGTCACTGCTTGGAAGTGTGCGGCCCGAGGTGGCCTCCAGCGTTTGCCGAGTGTGAAGGTGCTCATCTGAATGGGCCCTGCCTGCCTGGAGTGGGTCCGTGTGCCACACGATAGGCATCACACTCTATCTGGTTGGGGGCCTAGCCCACAAGTGGCTTTCAGTTGAGTCCTCGAATTTGAGCAGGCCCCTGACCATCCCTCCCCACCCGTTTCCACCTGTCCATACTTGGTGTCTCCTTCATTATCACATTCCTGGTCTCTGCCTTTTGGTTTAGAATTAGGTTTCCTGGCTCAGTGGACCTTTCAGAGCCATGTCACTAGATGGGGACACAAAGACAAAAGCATGATGGAACAGGCCAGAGTTGAGCTTTATGAAAACTCTTTGGACTCCACATAGATATCCAGACTGCCCTCCTACAGCATGAAGGGCAGGTCCATGTTCTTCTCACCCGTGCCTACGTAAATGTAGCCATAGTTCTTGGTGCGGGGAGCATGGTAGAAGGTGAGGCCTGGCCAGAGCAGGCTGCGGAGCACCACCAGCGCGTTGCCTCTCTCCATCTGGATGCTCCAAGACCCTGGAGGGGACAGACGGGGCTGCCTGGGCTACGGTGCCACCGTAAAAGCTGCTGTGCTGGTTGACAGGGCCATTTTGTGGCTCATGACAGGGAAGATAATGGAGAAGTGACCCGCCAAGTTAGGGCTTAGGAGGTCGGCAGACAGAGTGGCTCCTTTCCCTTGCACTAGAGTAAATCACCATGACCTTGAGCCTCTGTTCTGAGATGGATGGGACAACCAGGGGCCCAAGCCTCCCACCTCAGTGGTCTTCCCAACTGCTGGGAGGTGGAGCCATGCTTGGTGGGAGGGGACATCAGCTGCTGAGTCTGCCCGATGCTACTACTCTAGACACAGCAGCTCAGACCAGGCCGAGCTGTGCAGCCAGGACTTGGCTGGAAGAGCCTGATCCAGCTCCAAGGGAGGGAGCCGCTGTGTGGGAGGAAGGAGCCTGGGAAAATCGCCTCTGGATGTAGATCTGGGGCTTCTATTCCCCTGCGCACCAAGGCCTCTCCCCCAAACCAGCCACAGCCCTGCAAGGAAGGCAAATACTTTTTAAAGGTTTTGGTGCAGGACCAACCAGTTATGCTCTGAGGGCTGTTCTGGGCCTTCATCAGTTGCCAACTCAGCCCCATTGCTGGCTCCCACCGCTTGAGCTTCCCGCAGCCTACCTCCAACCATGGCCCACCCTGGTTACTCCACACCCAGCAACCTCACTACTCAATCCCCACCCTCTGGGGGTCACCCTGCATCCAGAAAGCTGGCCCCTGTGTAGCTAGCTGTCTGCCCTGGTCAAAACCAGAGCTTTCTGGAAGCATGGAGGTCTGCTGCCCCGGCTCCTGATTCAGCCATGCATGGGACAATGAGGTGGAGGCTACGCCATGGCTTGTCATTGCCCCATCGGCAAGAAGGAATCAGAACATGTATAACAGGCGCTGGCTGGAGCAGCACCCGGCCAATAGCTGTCCTCTGGGGACCTGAGAACCTTGGTGGCTTTCTTGGTCACAAGTCTCTAGAAAACAGTGTTTGGTGGGAGAAGAGGATGGATTATGACAGAACAAAGCGTTTCAGGTCCACTGTGTCTGGTCCTTGACAACAGACCCAGGAGTCTACTATTCACTAGCCTTAGTCACCCTACCAGAGCCCAGAGCATCCACAGAGACCTGGTCCCTCCTTGCCCTTGGAGCCCACAGCTTCACAGCCTCCTTGAGATAAGCAAGACCAGTCTCTGATCGCTCTGCCCACCCAGGGAGGCTGGCCTGCAGCTTCCCTTGCCCCAGTGCTAGCCAGGAGAAAACAGCCTAGGGTCTACCCCACCCCCACTGCAGACAGATACCCTTCAGTTCAGCCAACAGCATGGTGGCATGGGGTCCCTCACACCAGCATGTCTGGTCACCTCTTGGCTTCCAGTAGATGGGGAACAGAGGCTGGGGGGAGTGGCCCAGGCCCCGTGATACAGGAAAACTGAGGAAGTTAAAGAAATGTGGAACCCGAGGAGGACAGGGCCAAGCAGGCCAAAGGGTGCCAGCCGAGTTGCAGCATGCCAGGGGCTAGCCTCCCCGCCTTCCCTACATTCCTGTCATGCTCCTGTCCGCTCATCCTTCCTGGCTCAGCTCATCATCCAGAACACTCTCTCTCTCTCTCTCTCTCTCTCTCTCTCTCTCTCTCTCTCTCCTCTCTTTCCTCTCTCTCTCTCTCTCTCTCCTCTCTCTCTCTCTCTCTCTCTCTCTCTCTCTCTCTCTCTCTCAGTATGTGTGTTGGCAGACACATACCATGTATCTAAGGAGCCAGACACTCACTGTCACCTTCACCACCGTCTCAAGAGCAAACATGGAAAAACTAGGCCCAGCTAGCTACAGTTCCAGCTAGCTACAGTCCCAGCTAGCTACAGTTCCAGCTAGCTACAGTTGCCCTTTGAAGGTAGGAAGTCGCCTGGTGGGACAATTCACAGCCCCAGGTCTCTCCCAAGTCTCCTCAGACCTGGCTTCCTGGCTTCAGGTGGCTCTCCAAAATGCCTGTGCTCTGAGGCCGGGGAGAGGATGACCCTGAACTCAGCAGGGAGCCCTATACAATTAGCAGGAGGTCCTCCTGGGTTTCCTGATCCTGAGGTCTTACACACACACACACCCCCTCCCAGTGTGAAGCCCCAAGCTAAGGACCTTCACATTCTCCTGCTACCCAGGAAGAAAGGCTGGCATAAGGGAGTGTGGGGGCCAGCCTCTGGTTAAGCTGCCCAGGGCAGCAGGTGGCCTAAACCTCAAAAAACTTCACACTAAGAAATGGCCAGGAAGGGCTGGAGAGATGGCTCAACAGTTAAGAGCACTGCTACTCTTACAGAGGACCTGGGTTCGATTCCCAGAACTCACAGGATGGCTTACAACCATCTGTAACTCTAGTTCTAAGGAATCCGGTGCCCATTTCTGGCTTTGATGGCATGCATGTGGTCCACACGTGAAAGCAAAATACCCATACGCATAAATAAAAAATGAAATGAAAAATGACCATGGGCTCCTGATGGGAGAAGCCACCATCCCCCCCTTACCACAATGCAGAGTCAACCCTCCTAGAGGCTGGAGGACAAAGGAAAAATGCTCCTGGTGTCAGCCACCAATGTAACTAAGCAGTGGATAGCAGGACCCCTGGTCAGCCAAGCTTACAAAAGACTTAGGCAGGCAGAGCCACCTGCACGCTCACCCATAAGACTGCTACCACACTGCCCATTCTCTTCATGGTCCCTGTCTCGCCCTGTACCGTGGAGTCCCACCCTAATCACCATCTCCACCCCAGTATTTAAAGGCCACTGTCCAGGCTACAGGACTCTTGCTGCCCCCTGCTGTCCAAACTGGGCATTGCCACTGAGTGTTCTCTGTTGGGACCCCCAACCTGTATTTAGCCCTACCTGCCAGCTCTGCACCCCCACTCCCTGACACCTGCTGCCTCTTCTGCCCACTCTTCTGTGCTCCTGACACCTTCCAGACCGTCTCAGTCACTCTCCTCAAACCTTCCTGACACAGGAGAGCTGTCTCTCTCATTCCAAGGGCACCAGAGGGCTTGGCAGCTGCTCCATGCTCCACTGACAGAGTGGAAGGTTAACAACTATTGAATGGCAGAATACCACTGAGGAATCTAACTGCCTGACCCACTGCCCTGCCTGCCTTCCTGTGCAAGACCAAAGTCAGAGAAGTCCTAGTCAGTGCCCTGCACCCATCAGGAGGATGAGCCTGTGAGGATGGACACAAAACTGTCCATCCCAGGGCATTACAAGGCAGCTCATTGCCGAGATATTGGCCTCAGGTGACATCCCTCCCCCTTATCTTTCACCGAGGCTGGTCCAGAGAGAAGCTGTGAGCTCCATGCCTGTCTCTGTGGGCACAGAGGGCAAGAGGCCCCAGGACAAGACCCACTTCAACCACACCTGCTCAGAGGTGACAAGCTGTCCTGAATGCTTGCTTCAGACTCAGAAAACAGTTCTCCCTAGGCAGAAAGAGCTAAGGAGCTACAAACCCCACTCCTTTAGCCAGGCATGGTGTTCCAGGGATTCCTCCAAGGGTTCTTGTCCCCATTCTGCAGCCCAGGGCATCACTATTGCCATCTGCCAGGCAGGAGAGCCACCCAGCAGCTCATTCAGCTAGAGAGAGTCTAGAAGGAAGCCGGAGTTGTGTCTGATAAGTGAGATCCATCCTGCCCTGTTCACTTTCCTGCTGGTCCCAGAAGCCGCCTATCACTCAAGGTAACTTGGCTCTGGTGCCCCCATGTGGCGGAATCCAGCTGCTCAGGACCATCATCCAGCTGCTGTCACTGTGCTGGCCTAAGACAACCTGAGGGCTCTCTTGCCCCTTCTCTGTCCTCCTGTGCACATTGCCTTATTATGTGCATAAGATGTGCATATGATGTGCACACAGACCTACCTGCAAGCCTCCACAACTTCTCCCACCAAAGCTTTCCAGGAACTCCTGGGCCTGCCTCAAATCATCTCTATGGCTTTTTTTTTTTCCACTAGAAATATTTTTTTTTAATTGTGGTTTTTGGCTGAGTGTGGTGGCGCACGCCTTTAATCTCAGCACTCAGGAGGCAGAGGCAGGCAGATTTCTGTGAGTTCGAGGCCAACCTGGTCTATAGAGTGAGTTCCAGAACTACACAGAGAAACCCTATCTTGGAAAAATAATAAAATAAAATCAGGGTTTCATGTAGCTCCGGCTGGCCTAGAATTTACTATGTAGCCAAGGATTACAATAAACTTCTGATCCTCCTACTACATCATGACACCTTGTCTTAAATAAGAAGAGGAGGAGAAGAACGGTTGTTACCAGAGGTGGGTTGGATAAAAGGAAGTAGGGGGTTACGTCTTCAAGGGACCCAGGAAATAGAATGATGGTAGATAGGAAAAATAAATTTAAAAGGTCTATTGTAAAACATGGTAACTGTAGTTAATGATGAACATATATGGATGAAGATATACATGGAGATAGATATATAAATACAGATACATTTGAGATAGGGCTGTGCATTGAAGTCCAGGTGTCCGGACTTACTTGCAGGTCTGTCCCACCACAGCTGGCTTTCTATTTTACTCCTAGGAAACACAATGAGAGCAGACAGGTGTGCTCCTTGCAAAAAACAGAAACTATCCGGCCGGGTGTGGTGGCACAGGCATTTGATCCAGCACTCAGAAGGCAGAGGCAGGAGGATTTCTGTTCGAGGCCAGTCTGGTTTACAGAGAGTTCCAGGACAGCCAGGGCTACACAGGGAAACCCTGTCTCGAAAAAAAAACAAAAAAAAACAAAAAAAAAAACAACCAAACAAAAAACCAAAACACATTAAAAATTGGTTGGAATAAAGTTCAGAAGTGCACTAAAAATAACAACAACAAATCTGCTCAAATACTTGAGACCCTGAGCTGCTTACTTCCCACCTCCCCGCTGGACAACACAAGTGGAATGTCTCAGACCAGACTCTGGAGAAGCCCCACCCTCAAGAGGTCATAGTGAGCCACCAATGCCCGCCCAGGTTCTCAGTCCCAGCCTTGGAGAAAGGAGAAAGGTAGGGGTTGGCCTACTGCTCTGACCTGAAGGCCAATCCCACATCCTGAAGATAATGGCCTCTTACCTTTGGGGATGTCATACTCCAGGGAGTCCATGAAATCCAGAGAGGGGTCCAAGTCTGCCTTCTCGAGCAAGGTCTTGTTCTTCAGATCAACAGCCTCCCTGAAGTGGAAGTATGAGCTGAGCTTCTTGATCTCAGACAAGGGCAGGCCTGAGAGGAAAAGGTGGGCAGGAGAAGAGTTAACCCAAAGCCCGGGCTCCTTTCTCCTGGTGCTGCCACCAAGGAGATGGCTGCACAGGCCTCTGTCCACCAGACAGATAGCCCAAGCCAGAAAAGGGAGCTTGTTCCCTCTGCCCATGCTTGACCTGACCTCCACCCCACCCCCAAAAAAAGGAGCAAGGAGGGCCAGTGGCAAGAAGCAGGTAACTCTGACCCAAGAAAACCCAGGTCACCATACCACTTCTACATCTCCGGGTCCAGTGACTGAGAACCCATGTCAACTGTACTGGCTAGTTCTGTCAACTTGGCACAACTTAGAATCACCTGGAGAAAGAGTTTGCTTGTTTGTTTAATTAATTATTTTTTATATTTTTGAGACGAAGTATTACTATGTAGCTCTGGCTGGCTTTGAACTCACAAAGAGTTCCTCTTATTTTCTGTTTTTGTGTATTCTCTGAGCCAAATTATGTAGTCACTAAGAAAGAATACATGTTTTTGTCTCTATTTCTAGAAAAAAAATGTAAAAATTGTCTCTGCCTCTGCCTTCAGAGTGCTGGAATTAAAGGCATGAACCACCATGCCCAGACTGGGAGAGTCTTAATGAAGAATTATCTAAAGAAGTGGTTCTCACCAGGTGGTGGTTGTGGTGCACGCCTTTAATTCCAGTACTTGGGAGGCAGAGGTTCGAGGCCAGCCTGGGCTACAGAGCAAGATCCAGGAAAAGGCACCAAAGCTACACAGAGAAACCCTGCCTCAAACCAAAAAAAAAAAAAAAAGAGGTTCTCAACCTGTGGGTTGACCTTTGCAGGTTAAATGACCCTTTCACAGAAGTCACATATCAGATATTTACATTATGATTCATAGCAAAATTACAGTTACGAAGTAGCAACAAAAATAATTTTATGATTGGGGGTTACCACAACATGAGGAATTGTATTAAAGGGTCACGGCATCAGGAAGGTTGAGAACCACTGATCTAGATCAAGTTGGCCAATGGGCTTGTCTGTGGGGAATTATCTTCATTGTTAATTGATGTGGAAAGACTCAGCCCATTGTGGGCAGTACCGTTCCCTAGGCAGGGAGCCCTGGACTCTGTAAGAATACAGCAAGCTAGCCGAGCATAAGCAAGCAAGTAGGTGTGCTCGGATGTGCTCATTTCTCTCTGCTCTTAACGGCGATGTGAGCAGCTGTTTCAGGCTCCTGCTGAGATGGACTGTACCCCTCCTTCATGATGTTGCTTTCTGTCAGGGTACTGTGGACAGCAGCAGAGTGAAGTTAGGACACTACCAACAGCAGCAGGCCAGGAGACTCATCCTCCCAGGTGCTGGGACACAGCCACGCTTCTCCACGGAGGGCAGATGCCCTGGTCCCCCAGACATGTTCAACAGAACCTTAGCATCTCCTGCTCTGAGAGGATCCACAGGAACTCACCTTCAAAGGTCCGATTGACGTGGGTGACTCCGAAAGGGGTCTTGAAGAGGGCACCTCGGGGGATGATGGCTACAGCTTTGTCAATCTGGTCAATAATAGACACCAAGCGGGTCTCTTCCTTGATTTGGACCTGAGAAGACAGGAGAGGAGCACCCTGCCAGGGTATTGTGCCTGCTCACTTCAGATGCGAGGACAGAGATCTGCATGGTCAATTCTTTCCCTACTAGTTGGGCCTGAGACCTGGGTTATGCTGAGTAAGCATTTGTCTTCCTCGGTGTGTGTGTGTGTGTGTGTGTGTGTGTGTGTGTGTGTGTGTGTGTGTGTATGAGCATGTACGTGTGTATATGTGTGTGTGTGTGTATGAGCATGTACGTGTGTATATGTGTGTGTGTGTGTGTATGAGCATGTACGTGTGTATATGTGTGTGTGTGTGTGTGTGTGTGTGTGTGTGTGTGTGTGTGTGTGTGTGTAGAAATGGCTCAGTGAAGCATTTGCAAGCCTGATTCTCTGAGTCAGCTGGGAACACATTAAAAAGCTGGACACTTGGGTATAGTGGCATACATCTGTAACCCCAGCACTCCTGTGGAGAGATGGGAGGCAAAGAGAGAACGGCCCAGAAGCTCACAGGACAGCTAGTCTAGTGTAAACAAGACAGCAACAGAAACTACAGAGACTTCGCCTAAAAAATAAATAAATGAAGGGGAAGGGGCTGGAGAGATGGCTCAGAGGTCAAAAGCACTGGCTGCTCTTCCGGAAGCTCTAGGTTCAATTCCCAGCACCCACATGGATGCTCACAACCATCTGTAACTTCAGTCCCAGGGAGTCCGACAGCCTGCTCACAGAGTACACAGCAGACCTTACACTGAGGCAAAGCACTCACACATAAAAGAAATACATTTTCTTCTTTAAAGTGCAAAAAGAGGGCTGACTCCCCCAAGTTATCCTTTGACCTCCATACTTACACCATGGCTCATACTTGCCCAAACACACACACACACACACACACACACACACACACACACACACCCCAACACACATACTGACATAGACATAACACACACACCAACACAGACACAGACACACACACACCAACACAGACACAGACACAGACACACACACACACCAACACAGACACAGACACAGACACAGACACACACACCCCAACACAGACACACACACACCAACACAGATGCTCGCACACACACTGACACAGACACACACATACTGACATAGACACACACACACACCAACACACACACCAACACACCAAAACACACACACCAACACACACACACACACACCAACACACACACACAGTGACACAGACACACACACATACACCAACACAGACACAGACACACACATACACACACACACAGACAGGCACACTAATAATAATAAAAAGATTTTATATATGTATGAAAAAAGTATGCTCACTGTACATTATTTGGATAATATAGAAAATCATATCAAAGGGGATTAAAACTACTCATTATCCTTCCTCCCAATCACTAACATACTGATACACTTCCTTCTATTCTTTATGCAAATTTATGCATATTTTATGCGTCTACTTAAAGTACGATTGGGATCACAGTTTAGGTAGCATCCTTCTTCAGGCTTGCCATCACCAAGTGTTTCCCCATAAGGTTCCTAAACCTTACACAGAGGTAAGATAGTCCACTGCAGTCCACATCAGGGCCAGCAGGAAGGAAAAGGAGCAAGCTGTGCTCAACGCAGAAGCCTGCGGACAGAGGCAGCGGACCGACCTCACAGAGCCACCAAATGCGGGGCAACAAGGGAAGGCAGAAACTAACATTCAGAACATCCCGGGCCCAGCGGCTGTGAATGCCACCTTAGTGACTCCAACAAGCCTGCAAGAGTAAATACAGTCAGCCTAGCCATACACAAAGAGAACCCGAGGTCAGGAAAGTGCGTTTATCAGCTGAGAGGTGTGGCTGCCACTGCCCAACAGCCTAACACAGACTTACGACGTCACCCAAGTCCAAATGCAAGGCTGGGTTTTGAGTCCAGGTTTGGTTTAGCTGAATGTGGGCTTCCTACTTGTCGACCCAGTGGCATTTCTAGGAACTGGCCCTTTAGATAAAGTGCACACGTTGGAAATGACGTCAGTCCAAGGCCACTTGGCATGACATGTTTGTCATTGCTGAAACCTGGAAGCTACTTTCCATTAATCAGACTCTGTTTAAACACAGGTCCTTTCACACGCTGGCACAAAAAGCAGGGTGGCTGGTTGGGGTGCTGACGGTCTCTGAAAAACATGGCTTCATGAAAAGAGCATTGTACAGGGCTGTGGACACACTACACCACCATTCTAGGTTTCCAATTTACTCTGTTTTATCGCTTTACACATACAGATGTTTTGCCTGCATACATATCTGTACACCATGTGCATGTCTGGTGTCCACAGAAGTCAGAAGAGTGTGTCGCATCAGATCCTCTGGAATTAGAGTTATAGCGGCTATGAACCACCATGTGGGGCTTAGAATTGAGGCAGGTCATCTGCAAGAGCAGCAGGTGCTTTTAACAACTGAGCCAACTCTCCAGCTCCACACTGCCACCTTTTAATTTTATTAAGGAAACACACACACACACACACACACACACACACAGAGAGCAAGGGTTTCCTTGGCACTGGTGTCTGGAAATAACACCTCACTCTTTGTAATGGAGTCAGACCCCCGAGGATCATGGGAAAATGCAAGTTTGGGATGCTGAGCCTTGGATTGTACCCTTTGAGCTCCTAGAGGGCAGTGAGGCTGCTGATGAGGGAGAAGGATCTGGACTGGACAGGGACACATATGCTAAAAAGTTACATAATGTCCCCTAGAAGAAGGGTTTCCCTGCCCAGCAGGCAGGGAACAAAGGAAACTTTATTACATCCCTTTTAGTGCCTATGACTCAGGAACCATGTGGTGTATTATCTAGTAAAACTAAGATTAGTTCAAAAGGGCTGGCCAGATGGTTGTGGGTAATGTTCTTGCCATCAAGCCTAATGATCTAAGTTCAGACTTTAGAACTTCTATGGAGAAGGAGGGAATTGACTCCCACAAGCTGTCCTTTGACCTCCATGGGAGAGCCCGACCCCACACACAAAATAAATAAATGTACTTCAATGGCAGAGTGGTTGCCCAGAATGTATAAGACCAAGTTTTGATTCCTAGCACTGTAAAATAATAATAATAAAAACAATGATCAGTGGGGCAGTGTTGACACTCGCCTTTAATCTGCACTTGGGAGGCAGAAGCAGGTACGGTCTACTTTACTGAGCGAGTTCCAGGACAGCCGAGGCTACACAGAGAAACCCTGTCTCAAAAAGACAAAATAATAATAATAACAAAACAAAATGTGCATGTATACACATTCCTGATCCTCAAGATGCAGCACAGACCCCTCTCCCTGGTCCCCATGTGGAGCCAGGCTTTACGGGAGCTGCCTATCCATTCTCCTTGCCCTGGCCCTCAGCTTAGCCTTAGCTCCAGTGTCGTCCTCTCCACCACCTGGATGGGAATGAACCACCTTTGCAGCGTTGTCAGAATTGGCAGCAGCAAAGCCCCTAGCCCCGGGGACTCAGTGTACACCCAGGCAGTAGTGACGGCGGTGACAACAGATAATCACAGTGGGACTTGTTCTTCTTTCTACCAGGCTGGGATCTGCTAGCTTCTTATGTGAATGAGTGTCTTGCCTGCATATATGTCTGTCCGTCCACCACTTGTGCACCTTGTGCCCACAGAGGTAAGAAGAAGGCATTGCATCCCTTGGAACTGGAGTTACGGTTGTAAACTTCCATATGGATGCTGGGAATGGAACCCAGGTCCTCTGGGAGAGCAGCTAGTGCTCTTAGGCACTGAGCATCTCTCCAGCCCTGGAACGCTGCTCTTGTATTAGGTTAGTCGGGTTTGACTTGCGAGGCTGGGGATGCGAGGGCTTTGCCTGCAGCGCTCACAGTCTCCCATTGTGCTGACCCTCAGACTTGATGGGCCTTTGCTCAGACCCTTCCGGCACCCCCACACCCCTGCACTTACCACCACCTCTTCATCGAAGACCTTCTCACCCTCGTTCACCTTCTGGAGCTCAGTGTGTTCATACTCGTGGGAGGGATCCCCCATGAAGCGGCCGCTCACCACAGCAGTCTGCGTAGCCATCTCCTCTGTGGCGGGGGGCAAGAGGCTCCACTCTGTGCAGTTCAGGCTGCCAACAACACCCACATCACCCTGGACTCCAATTCTCCTCACTCCCACCACTTTCCCTTATCGCAGGCTCAGGCAGCCAAAAGCTTCGCAAACACCTTCATCCCAGAACCTTTCAAAGCGTCTGGTACAGTCCACCCTTACACTTGATGCACATTTACTTTTGTGTACTTTCCACTTGCTTTAAAATATTTTATTTGGGGGGCTGGAGATATGGCAGTTAGACACACTTGCTGCTCTTCCAGGGGACCCAGCACCCAAATGGTGGCTGTTCAGTCACTGTTTATCCTTGAAGGAAGTCAGGAAGGGACTCAAACAGGGCAGGGACCTGGGAGCAGGAGCTGACACAGAGGCCACGGAGGCTGTGGAGAGGTGCTGCTCATCATGGCTTGCTCAGCTTGTTTTTTTATAAAGATTTATTTATTTTATGTCTGAATGCTCTATCTGCATGTACACCTTTGTGCCAGAAGAGGGCATCAGATCCCACTAGAGATGGTTGTGAGCCACCATGTGGTTGCCAAGAATTGAACTCTGGAAGAGCAACCACAACCGCTAAGCCATCTCTCCAGCCCAGCTCTGCTTTCTTATAGAACCCAGAACCACCATCCAAGGGATGGTGCCACCCACAGTGGGCTGGGCCCTCCCCATCAATCCCTAATTAAGAAAATGCCCTACAGGTTTGCCTATAGCCTGATTTTATGGAGGCATTTTCTTTTTTTATTTATTATTTTTAATAACTTTTTTACATTTATTTTATATACTGACCACAGTTTCCTCTCCCTCCTCTCCTCCCAGTCCCTCCACTTCCCATCTACCCCCTCCCCATCCACTCCTTCTCTTCCTCCTTCTCCATTCAGAAAGGGGCAGGCTTCCCATGGGCTTGAACAAAGCGTGGCACATCAAGTTGAAATAGGACTGAACCCCTCCCCCTGCATCAAGGCTGGACAAGGTAATCCAGCATGGGCAACAGGTTCCCAAAAGCCAGCCAAGCATCAGGGACAGGTCCTGATCCCACCGCTAGGAGCCTCATAAAGAGACCAAGCTACACAACTGTCACACACATGCAGAGGGTCTAGGTCGGTCCCATGGAGGCTCCCTAACTGTTGGTCCAGAGTCCATGTGCTCCCATGAGCTCAGGTCAGCTGTCGCTTTGGGTTCCTCTGTCATGACCTTGACCCCCCTGGCTGATTCAATCCCTCCTCCCTTTCTTCAGCACGGCTCCAGGAGCTCAGTCCAGTGTTTGTCTGTGGATCTCTGCATCTGCTTCCATCAGTTACTGGATATAGTATCTCTGATGACAATTAAGGTATTTACCACTCTGGAGAAGGCTGGTTCAGGCACCCTCTCCACTATTGCTAGGAGTCTTAGCTGGGGTCATCCTTGTGGATTCCTGGGGGTTTCCCTGCACCAGGTTTCTCCCTAGCCCCCAAATGCCCCCCTATCAAAAGGCTTCTTTCATAGGTCTCCCTGTCCCACCTCCAACCCGCCTCCTGCACACCGCCCACCCAACCTGCTCCCTCAAGTTCCCATGCCTCCATGCCCCCCTCTTCAAAGTGGATATTAGGAGTAAGTATAGGATAGCCAACCTACAACCCACCTCCCCAGAGAGGCTAGATAATGAGGAGGGCCCAAAGAAGGATGCATGGATTTCTCTGGGAGGCACTTTCTTAATTGAGATTCCCTCCTCTTAGATGACTCCGTTTATGTCAAACTGACGTAAAACTATCCCAGCATTCAGGAGGCAGAGGCAGGTGGATCTCTGAGTTCGAGGCCAGCCTGGTCAACAGAGCAATTTCCAGGTCAGCCAGGGCTATATGGAGAAAGCCTGTCTTGAAAAAACAAGAAAACAAAAATAAGAGAAAATGCTACTGCACCCACCATTTCCTGTCTCCCTTTGTACCTGGCACCCATCCATCATGTAACCGATGTGGGTGTTTAGTCTGACCCTGTCATATGGCTCCCAAATATACATGGTAACAGAAGCTCCATGAAGACAAAGAGTTTGTTACACCTACTTTTCCAGGCAGACTGAATTCCTGGTGCCTAAATCAATACATAGCCTGTGGTAGGAGAAGGCGCTCAACAGAGGCTTATACTACGGCCAAATGAGACTCACACCTCTTTATCTTTAGCTCAAATGTGGATTCCCAATCTGTATTTAATGTGACTCATCATGTTTTGCCCCCAGATACCCCATACCAGTCACTCTGCCCTCCCACTGACTTTTGTTAGGTTTGGTTTGTTTGCTTGTGGGTGGTTTTGTTATTTAAGGTAGGGTCTCTCACTGTATCCCAGGCTGGCCTTGAACTTCTTCTGCCTCAGTTTCCGGAGTGCTGGGATTACAGACCTGAGCCAGATCCTGATGCCTGGATTCTCAGTAGTAAGCAGGGCTGACACTTAGCTGCATCCATGGAATGGGCCAACAGTGAACTCTCCACCTTCATCCAAGCTGCCACAGTCTCCCTCTTTGTTTCAACTGCCTCCACCCCTCAGCTACTTTCCCTTCAAACCCTCACCTCTAGGCACTACAAAGACCCCTAAATGCTCACACACACAAACACACTTCCAGACCACTGCCCACTCAGATCTGAGCAGGCTCTTCTAGCTTATAGCCCCTTTGGTGCTCCCTGGTGGCTTGTGGACAAAGTTCATAGCCTTGACTTGTCCAAACATGCTGTCAAGTTCACTTCCTGTCTCTCCCCCAGACACTCAAAGCTTTCTCTACTCACAGTGCAGGAGGGTTATGGGTTTAGAGCTACTGCTTCCTGATCAAGCTTGTTTAGCTGTTCTCCAGAAACCCAGGACTCCAGGTATCCATATGTACACCTCAATTCTAGCTTTTCTTTTTGAGACAGGGTCTTTTATTTTGTGTGTGTGAGTGATTTGCCTGCATGTCTGTACATGCACCTCACGTGTGCAGTGTCCCCAGAGGCCAGAAGAGGGTGTTGGGTCCCCTGGGACTGGAGGTATAGATGGTTCTAGGGATTGAACCCTAGGTGTCTAGAAGAGTAACCAGTGCTCTTAAGTATTGCGCTCTCTCTCCAGCCCCAACACAGGGTCTTATGTAGCCCAGACTGGCTTCAAACTCCATGTATATATTATCAGAGGCTGCCCTCGAACCTCTGAATCTCCTTCAGTGCTGGTTTGAGGCATGAGTAGGTAAATGAAGGCCCCAGATAACTGCAGCTTGGATGCGTTATACAGTGGTAGGCTCCCTCATTGTCCTGGGGAACGCAGGAAGAGGCAGGAATGGTCCTATATGGTAGTCTTACGTTGCAGAATTTCCCCCAAAGCTTTCCCCATTCCACGAGTCTTCCAAGAGCACTCCCACTGCAGAGCCCGCATCCCCGTGGGAGACGCTTCCAAACACACCGCCAGAGCGTCTGACTTCTCCAAACCAAATCCGGTCCGCAGCTGGAACCTGAATTCTACACTAAGTTGCCTTCTCCAGGAACTCTCCCTCTACTACGAATCCATCTACACCAGTTTCTCTTATTCCTCCAGGCTGACAACCCTCGAACTTCCCCACCCCCAGCCACTTTCCAACCCCGTCAGGGTCCACAAGACCCTCACAGTCCCCAAGCTCTTCAACTGTCCTTTTCCTCCAGCCCCGCCCATAGGCGACTTTTCAGTGCTTCTAGGGCAGGTCCTGCCCACCCATCTCTCCCAGCCATAGCAGCACCCACCACCCTACGGTGTTGTCCTGCAGCGTCGCCTGCCACAGGGTCGCCTCACCTGTAGAGCGTCTTGCGTGGTGCGAGCTGGTCCTCACTCAGGCCCTGCGCGATGTAGTAATCCGCAACAAGACCGAGGATGCGGCCCCAGAAAAGGACCCGAGTAAAGCGGTAATCGCGCTTAACCAGCAGAAGGGACGTGAGCAGGGAGGCTCGACGGTCCGGGCTGAGGCCCTGCCCACTGCCAGACGCCAGCTCCAGCGACAACAAGAGGCTATCCGCATCCATCAGGCCAGCAGTTCTCCTCCACGCTAGTCCGACGGGTAGAAGCCGTCTCCATGGAGACCCTGAGCCCCGCCCCTCTCAGTCTAGCAGGAAACAAAATCCCACCCACCGGACCGCCCATCTCTCCAAACCCGCCCTTTCCTGGAGCCCGGGAACACACCAGCCTTTCCCTCCTCTGCTGCGCGGTCCAGACGTCTTTTATCTTTCTGGCGCCGCGGCTTCGCCATAGGAAGTGCCAGACCAGCTCCACACACACGCTCCACATTAAGTCCAATGCTCCACCTATGCCCAACAGGGACTTGGGAAGAAAATCAATACAAAGCCCCGCCAAGGGCATTAGTTGTATTATTTCAGCCCGGGCATATCACTTCTTGGCCTGAGAATTTTATGAAGAAGCAGGAGTTTCTGACGCTCTCTAAGCCCACCCGAAGCCAGGTTTTTACCAAGTATGCTCTATTCACGCTGTCCTTTCCAGTTTTCACCTGAGAGCTTTTATTCCTTGGACTAGTGTGAGAAAGAACTAGATAACAAAGTAAGATATAGGACCACTCCTTGGAAAAGGATGGTATGGCAAGGTGACATTTTCCAGGGGTGGTGGCCCACAGTTTTAATCCAGCACTCAGGAGGCAGAAACAGGCAGGTCCCTGAGTTCTAGGCCAGCCTGGTCTACCTCACAAGTTCGGAGCCAGCCGAGGCTCAAAGTGAGATACTGTCTCAAAAAAAGAAGCCACTACACGTGCATATCAGCTACAGCCCACATGTACATGACCTTGGGCCCCACAACTGCTTAGACTCAGATGGAAGACCAGCACCCCACTATTGGTGTGGCTCTGCATTCCCCAGGCTAACCCACTGCTGTTTAACTTCCATTCTGGAGTCCCCAGACAAAATCAACAGATTCCTTGAAGGCTTGTTTCAGGGAAGTTAGGCTTGGTTTGTAGTGACTGAGCTTTTTATTTCTGGATTCCTTTAGGGAAGACTCATGAAGTCAAAATGCCCTGGGCCTCCACGCCAAGCCCATGGAGAAACGTGTCTAAATCACTCAGCTAATTGCTTTGTTTTGATTGCCTGAGCATTGTTCATCATGGCTTTTTTTTTTTAAAGATTTATTTATTTATTATGTATACAGAAGAAGGTGCCAGATCTCATTACAGATGGTTGTGAGCCACCATGTGGGTGCTGGGAATTGAACTCAGGACCTCTGGAAGAGCAGTCAGTGCTCTTAACCTCTGAGCCATCTCTCCAGCCCCCATCATGGCTTTTTTTTTTTTTTTTTTTTTTTTTTTTTTTTGGTTTTTCGAGACAGGGTTTCTCTGTGTAGCTTTGCGCCTTTTCCTGGAACTCACTTGGTAGCCCAGGCTGGCCTCGAACTCACAGAGATCCGCCTGGCTCTGCCTCCCGAGTGCTGGGATTAAAGGCGTGCGCCACCACCGCCGGCCCATCATGGCTTTTTAAATGTGCACTTGAGGACAGCTGACCTGGCTGATAGGTCTTTCATCTCAAAACAATTTATGGCCCCCATTCACAATGTCCCCGCTCTCTGGTCCCCTGGTCCCCCCATTCACAACTTCCCTGCTCTCTGCCCCCCCATTCACAATTTCACTGCTCTCTGGGCCCCCCATTCACAATTTCACTGCTCTCTGGGCCCCCCATTCACAATTTCACTGCTCTCTGGCCCCCCCTTCACAACTTCTCTGCTCTCTGGCTCCCCATTCCCAGCTCTTGTCAGAGCACCTCCACCATTTCCTGCCCTACTTTGGCAATATAGCACAATTCTTCTGTAAAGAAATACTATCCAAAAAAAAAAAAACCAAAAAACAGTCTGGCTGCTGGGATACACATCAGGTGATTTCAACACAGAATACAGCTCAAACACCTTGTTTTCACCGGTTCTGGATTTACCTCAGAAACCAGAATCGGAAGGAAGGGGGAGTCTCAAAGCTTTGTAATGCGCTCATTTGGAGCAGGACTAAACCCTGGCTGTTCCAGAGAAAAACCACACTAAAGGCTCCGCACAGGGGAAGCAGCTGCAGGCCGGTGAACAGGTTTGAATCCATGCTTCACCATGTAGGCGAACCCATCTCCCCAAACCTCATCCATAGTGGAGCAGTTATGAGACCAAAACAGAAACAATCTACCTTGCAAGTTAATGTGAGACCAAAACAGGAAAAATAGATCTTCCAGGCTAAGGGCTCTGTTTGCAGTGAAGACAGTCAAGAATAAGTTTGTTTGTCCTGGGTTAAATCCTTGCAAGTTAAGGTTTCTATTTCTATTTCTAACAAAGAATAAGTTCCTGTTTGTCCTGGGTTAAATATCTGCAAATTAAAATTTCTACTTGTAATTAAGTTCCTGTTTCTTAGATCTGATGTAAACTGCAAACCATGTTTTTGATCTACACTAAGCTTGTGACCCCATGCACATGATGTATACATACCCTTACCCTTGTTCCTCCCCTAACAATGGATAAGAGTTGACTCTCTTGCCCTGTGAACACTTTCTCTCTCCTAGAAAAAAGGCTTCAAGAGGCCCACAAGGGCTGCTCTCTAAAATCCTGACTTAGGGAAAGGCAGCCAGACTGGTCAGTCCCAGCATATCCCAAAATACAGCTTGCTTTAACCACAAAATCCTGGACTTGGTTTTTCTCCTCACAATTCTCAGGTTTAACATAGTAACACATACATGTAAGTTAACATTAAATAATGTGTATAAGTACCTTTTTTTCCTTTTTGGTTTTTTGAGACAGGTTTTCTTTATGTAGTCCTGGCTATCCTAGAACTTATTTTGTGGGCCAGGCAGGCCTTGAACTCACAGAGATCCCCCTGTCTCTGCCTTTCAAGTGCTGGGATTAAAGGCATGTGCCACCCGCACCCAGCCTTGTGTGTAAGCGCTGAACCTAGTATATAGACACAAGGAGCCTGGGGCAGATGCACGAACAAGACTGTGGGAATGGCCTCCACTGTGGTCATGGCAGAGGGGCATACCGAAGTATGTAGAATTGAAATGCCATCATGCCTGAATGTGGAATTCACATACGTAGGACATGAAGGTGGGAGAGGTCATGTTATGGAGTTGGGGAAAGCAGAAGGGGGAGTTTGGGATGAATATGATCAAAAAGTGGGGAGGTGGCGGGGAGCTTGCCACAGGCTCCCCAAGACTAGACTTTCAGCTTCCAAAACATTTGCAAAGAAACAAAGTAAAAACTTAGCCTGGTAGCCTATAACCCTAGGCAGAGGCAGGAGGTCAGGAGCTCAACTTCTATGCCATATATCAAGTTCAAGTAACATGAAACTGTTTCAAAAACAACTTTTTTAAGAAACAAAAATAAAGTTTAGTATATGTGTTACTGTGTCTCAAGCACTTCACCCACATCACCCTAACATCTTGGCACATGCATCTCCCTCAGCAGGGTGGATTTCTGTCTGACTTGCTGCCAGGAGTGAGGGAAGGGCCATTTTGCCCAGGGCAATGGCAGCAGCCATCAGGCTGTAGAGACGGGCTGGACAGAAGCTCCAGGACAGAGACACAGGGAGAAAACCCCTCAGAATTCTGGGGCAGTCTGGGGAGCCTGAGCCCACAGTTCCGTCTGGCTCTGGGAGGAGCCTCTTGGCTTTCTGTTTTCAGCCTACTCTCTGTCCTCTTCCTCTGAAATTTGTTTCTCAGATCTGAAGAGCAGAATTGATCCAGTTTACCCGAACCACTGAGACTTCAGAACAGCTGGAGAGGTTGCAGGGTCTCACCCCACTCAGCTCCCGGTGCTGGGCACATGGCACACATTAACCTAATCCACAGGTGACTTCATTAGCCTGAATTCTACAACACCCTCTGGTCCCAACTGACCACCAGCACAAGCTGACACTTGGCTCCAGGGACCAGTTTTTTAATAGGGTTGTAGTTCCTGTTCTCTGAGCTAGAACCATCTTTGTGGGGGTCCTCTGCACACTCCTGCAGCGCATCTGTTTAGAGTCCACCACAGAACAGGCCCAGGCCAGACTGTTCCCTAAGTCCTTGGGCTCTCAGTGAGTGGCCTGCCAAGCCAAGTTCCTTACCAGGATTTTGCCTCCAGTAAAAGTGACCTTTGCTTTGAGCATACAGAATTTAAGGGTCAAAGATCAGATAGTATGTGCCAAGAAAGAACGTTGGTTAGAAGTTAATGGATGAGAACTCTAGGCCCAGCTCTGTTATCAACTCCCTCCTAGAACCTTAACCAAGTCACTTAAACTCCACAGACCGGGACTGATAAAGAGGGAAAAAGTCACAGGTAAAAATCTTGGACCCCTGAAGTAGAAAAGCCCAGGCAAAAACAAATGCTTGCGATTGCAGAGATGCACACCAGCAAGCAAATTCTGAAGAGGATGAAGATCACAAGTATGAGGCTAACCTGGGCTACACCTTTAGTACCAGGAATGTAGCTCAGTTGACAGAGCATCTGCCTACCATGAATGAAACCCTGGTTTCCAACCCCAACACCAAGTAACCCTGGTATGGTATGGCAGTACATGCCCAGGATCCCAACATTTAGGAGGTAGGGAAGGAGAATTAGACAGTCACAGTTATCCTCTCCTACACCCAGCACATTCACAGCAATCTAGGAGACATAAGACTTTCTCAAAAACAAAAAACAAAACAACAAAAACCCCTGAGCCTCAAAGCCAAACAGTCTAAGTCAAAAGTGTTAGGAAAATTTAATACAACTCTATTCATTTTGTATTTAAATTCATGAGTCACACCCACATTACGACCCTGGTAACAACAGTTCTGAAGTCACACATAAAACAGAGAAGGGCCATCTCCATGCTTTCTAATCTCAGACAGAACTCCCGGGCCCAGAGGCCTCTGGGAGTCAATCGTTGATTCGGGGACTTTGCTTGATGATGATTATCACAGTCATGGCCACATACCATCAGTCCCCAGGCAGTCTGGGGAGAGGAGGCATACTGCCGAGACAGAGCCTTCCTCCCTCACCAGGAAGCAGCTTCAATTCCAAACAAGAGATGGGTGCCTTGGCAGCAGAGGGGAGAATTCAGCCACTGTCCTCATTCAGTCACTCATGGAAACCTTTAAGTGTCACGGGTGCCTGGAACCAAACGTAATCCTCGGAAGCCACGGCTGGGATGGAAGGTCTGCCACAGGACAGCGTCACAGTGAGTTTGTGGCCCCGGCTGGGCACTCGGTAGTTGAGCTTGGGTCGAAACCAATCTTCTCCACAGTCACGGTGCCCCTGTACCATGACAATGGTACCCATGAGCGGAGGAGCCTGCAGCTCACTAAAGGCATCGGCCATGAAGATGGCTCGGAAGAGACGACGCAAACAGGCGGCTGTGCTCAGGCTCTGGTCCACGCTAAAGGGGGCCAGCCGGGACAAGTCAAGTTCGTAGAACTCCTTGGGGCTGAGGGCATTGCCTCCGAGAAGGATCAACACTCGTGGTACTAGTGTTCGGGCAAAGAAGTCCTCTAGGTGACTGAGGACACTCTCCAGTTCTGCCAGAGCCTGTTGACATTTCCTGCTGTTCACCTCAGTGGTGATCCGAGGTTTCTTCCTTGCGGTGTCCTCTGACTGTAAAGACAAAGAATGATGGGAGAAAAGGACATGGTAGAATGAAGTGAATGGCCTTTGTAGGAACCCATGGAGATGTGTACACAAGCAGGATTTCTGATACTGGGTTCTATCAGAAAGCATTAAATTAAGGAAAATGTATACACCGTACCAACTACAATTCTCTGCCTTGAATGGGAAAGATGGTATTGAAAGCTGGAGGGCATCACAATATAAGCAAGGAAATAGAGGGAGGTGAGATGGCTCAGCAACTAAAGGGGCTTGCTGCACAAGCCTGGCAGCCTGAGTTCAATCCCCAGAACCCAAGTAAAGACAGAAAAGAATGACTCCCTTTGACCTCCACTGTAGTGTATACACACACACACACACACACACACACAGCAATAAAAAGAATTTAGAAAACAATAGTAAAAGACTTTGTGGCATAGATGAAGGCAGCAACTTTTTGTTATACAGGGAGTGTAGGAATGAATGAGGATTACTTGGTTTAATCAAGATAATTCTAGAGTAGGTCTTCCAACTGAACACATGGTTACTGAGGCCAGAGAGACGGTTCAGTGGGTAAAAGCACTTGTTCTGCAAGCATGAGGGTCTGGGTTCAAATCCTCAAGACCCAGGTAAAAAGCAGCATCCAGCATTGTGTGGCAGAGACAAGACAGTCCCGAGAGCTTGATGGTCAGCCAGGCAGCTAGGCTAAATGTTCAGCTTCTGATTCAGTGAGCCCCGATCTCAAGGCAGAGAGCAACACACACATACACACACACACACACACACACACACACACACACACACACACACACACACAGCTATTAATATATGCTTCCCCCTAAAATACAGAGTAAATAAATTCAGTAAGGGAAGGAGAAAAAGAAGTGAGTTAGAAAGAACTCCCTGTAGAGAAAGAACTAAAGAATATACAACGTTGGCCAAAGGCAAGAAGCTTCAGAAGATAAAAAGTGGATGGTCCCCATCCCACCAAATTGGGGGGGGGGCATTAAGAGTCAAGAGAGTTGATTATCAACCGCTAGTAAAGGAGACAAGAAGCAAGTCCACGATGCAGAACCTCAGACAGGACAGCATGAACCCTAGACAGAACAGGCATGGCAGAAAGCATGGGGTTGGAGCTGAACAGGAACCTGTGGGAGAAAGTCTCTGGGAAGAATTTGTAATTCTATAGTTTGGGGGTTTGTCTTTTTTCTTTTCTCTTCTTTTTTTATCATTTTTTAAGATAGGCTTGGGCTGGAGAGATAATTCAGAGGTTAAGAGGACTGGCTGCTCTTCCAGAGGTCCTGAGTTCAATTTCCAGCACCCACATGGCGGTTCACAACCATCTGTAATGAGATCTAGTGCCCTCTTCTGGCCTGCAGGCATACATGCAGACAGAACACTGTATATATGATAAATAAATAAATCTTAAAAAAAAAGACAGGCTCTCACTGTATACCCTGGCTAGCCTGGAACTGCTTATGAAGACCAGGCTGGCCTCGAACTCAGAGATCCACCTGTCTCTGCTAGGTACTGGGATTAGGGCTCCATACCTGGCCCTCCTCTACTATGTTCGGTGAGTTTTCCAAAGAGATCACCAAGTTCTCCTTAGAGTTATCAGCTTATAAGGCCCAGGCATCAGACAGTGGTTTATCATAAAATATTCACCAGATAGAATAAAAAGTTCCAACATAAACAGCAAACACCAAAAGTCAAAAGAAACAAAGAGGAAAGGTATTCTGGGAGAAAGACCCTGCAAGCAGCAAGAGGGAGAGTGGGAGGGGCCCTTAAAAAACAAAAACAAACAAACAAAAAAACAAGAGAATCATATGGTCCTGAAGGACACGGTGGCTATAATCCCAGGACCCATGCCAAAGTGGGAGCAGCATTGAAACTCACAAGCTCTGGGCTGGAGAGGTGGCTCAGAGGTTAAGAACATTGGCTGCTCTTCCAGAGGTCCTGAGTTCAATTCCCAGCAACCACATGGTGGTTCACAACCATCTGTAATGAGATCTGGTGCCAACTAACTAGCCAGGCGGTGGTGGCACATGCCTTTAATCCCAGCACTCGGGAGGCAGAGGCAGGCGGATCTCTGTGAGTTCGAGGCCAGCCTGGTCAACAGAGTAAGATCCAGGACAGGGACCAAAACTACACAGAGAAACCCTGTCTCGGGAAACCAAAAAAAAAAAAAGATCTGGTGCCAACTGTATACATAATAAATAAATCTAAAAAGAAAGAAAGAAAGAAAAGAAGAAATTCACAAGGAAAGGCCGGTGTGGTGGGGAAGTTAAGGCAGACAGTTCTCTGGCCTGAATTACATAGTGAAATCCTGTTTCCCAAAAATAAAAAATTGCCGGGCGGTGGTGGCTCACACCTTTAATCCCAGCACTCGAGAGGCAGAGCCAGGCAGATCTCTGTGAGTTCAAGGCCAGCCTGGGCTACCAAGTGAGTTCCAGGAAAGGCACAAAGCTACACAGAGAAACCCTGTCTCAAAAAACCAAAAAAAAAAAAAAAAAATAATAATAATAAATAAAATAAATTTTAAAAAATAAAATAAAAATAAAAAATTTAGAGGGCAAATTCACGATGTCCTCATACAACACATAATAGGAAGAGTCTCAGAAACAGAACAAGAGAAAAGAAGAGACCACCAAAACCCAAGTGGGGAGAAAATGAGGAAAGGAAGCCTTTGCAAAGGCCTAGGCTTCCATAGAAGCTGAGGATTTCTTAGATCACTTTGCTACTTGGCCACCATCTAAGAGCCACGAAGCCTTCCCACCAATTTTCTTCCAAAGCCCGTTGCCCCCCGTTGCCCACCTGGGGAGAGGATTTTCGGTAGAAGTGCTTAAGCTGTTCATAGGGCAGAGGGAGCTGTTGGCGTTGGTACATGACGTGCTTTAGAAGTTCACAAGTAAACTGACAGCAGCCTTCCTGGCTCACAGGCCCAGGGAACACCACCGGCACCAAGTTTCTTGGGCAAAAGGGCTCCGAAGAATTGGAAGGTTCCTGGGCTGACGTGATGACGATCTCAGGATCTACCTGGGGAGCATGAGTTTCTTCCGGCTTCTCATACCAATCCAAATCTAGTCCGTGAATGAAAGAGTAGAGGGAGAGGGGGATCAAAATCAACATCAGTCTCCTAGTTCCCAGGGTTCACATCGGCAGACACCCCCGTAAACCCTGGACAGTGACAGGAGACTTGATGCTGGCTGGGGGCGACTAAAGTGACTTCGGGACAGGAGGGGGCTTTCGGAGGCAGAGACTAAGGCTTCACTATGAAGTGTGGAGTGAGGGCCAGCACACCCAAAAGGGCACGACAGGAGAAGCAACTCCACCCAAAGCGAGGAAGTGACCCACAGAGCCAGCTCGGGCCGGGACGCGGGGAACCAAGGAGACGGGGAGGACCGGCGGAGAAAGCGCCAGCCGCTAAAGGCCTCCGGGGAGGTCGCAGCAGGAAGGAAACAGGCCCCCAGTTCTGGATCCCGCGCCTTACCCGGGGCGGCCGCAGGAGACAGCTCAGAGGGAACCTCTGGCCCGGGCGCAGCCATACTTGCTGCCTGCTTAGTCGCCCTGCGGTTAAAATAGACGCCGCGCGGAGCATCAAGGGAAGTTTAAGCTCCACTTCCGGCTCCTACGGGCCGGAAAGGGACTCTGCGCGACCTCTGGGTGGTGGAGGTTGGGGTTGGCTCAGTTGAACCACACCCTGGGGAGGGCACGCTTGGCCCTCCCCACCTAGGCGACCCTCGGGGCGGCCTTCCTAAGGGCGCACCCTTTCTCGCCAGTTCACTGCGCACCTCCCTGCGCGCCTCCTTCGTGCCAGGCCCTGTCCTAGGTGCTGGAGACGCAGCCGCGGTCAAGGCCATCTCCCGCCCTATTAGACAGTGGGCGTGTGCAAGGGCTGTGGGGAAGAGGGACACCTGCCCCAGAGCGGGTTGGGGCGGGTTAGTTAGGGTGGTCCCGGAATGTGTGCCCTGTGACCTATAGGTAAAGTTAGCTAGGTAAAAAGGATGAACCTATTGTTAGAGAGCTTGAGAGACAATGTTCTCTGTTCAAGGACTAGAAGAAATTCTTATTATAAAGGGTTAAGGTTTTGCCGGGCGCTGGCGGCGCACGCCTTTAATCCCAGCACTCAGGAGGCAGAGGCAAGCAGATGTCTGTAGGAGCGAGTTCCAGGACTGCCAAGGCTAACAGGGAAACTGTTTCAAAAACAGCAACAAAGACAAAACAAAAAAAGAGTTAAGGTTGGTTTTTTTGTTTGTTTTTTGGAGAGGGGTTTGGTTTTCCGAGACAGGGTTTCTCTGTATAATGGCCCTAGCTGTCCTGGAACCCACTATGTAGACCAGGCTGGCCTCAAACTCTGCCTGCCTCTGAGTGCTGGGATTAAAGGTGTGTGCCACCACTGTCAACCTAAGAGTTAATGTTTTAAGGCTGTAGATAAACAGTAGCCAGACCATGGCAGGACTCCTCAAGTGATGCTGAAGTTTGAACTTGATCTCCTGTAGGGTGATGGGTAAAGTTTTTCTTTCCTTTTTTTTTTTTTTTTTTTTTGGTTTTTCGAGACAGGGTTTCTCTGTGTAGCTTTGCGCCTCTCCTGGAACTCACTCTGTAGCCCAGGCTGGCCTCGAACTCACAAAGATCCACCTGGCTCTGCCTCCCGAGTGCTGGGATTAAAGGCATGTGCCACCACCGCCCGGCAAGTTTTTCTGATTAGGACAGTGAGGAACCCTGGGAAGCTTGCCACCAAGCCCACGATGACCTGAGTTCAAACAGGACCCACAAGGTGAAAAGAAAGAACATACTCCCCGAACACCACTCTGTGACAGGCTCACACACAGACACAAAGCGCGGAAGCACTGTTATGGGGCCTGCAAGCAAGATGGCTGAGAAGGTAAAGGCATGTGCAGCCAGAACTGATGACCTGAATTCCATCCTCCACCTCCACACCAGCACCACACACCAGCACCACACACACACACACACACACACACACACACACTCACACACACACACTCATTTTAATTTACACTTTGTAAACAGAACCTTTACGCTTACTACAGTGTAGAGACTGACTTTCAGGGAAGATGAGGCAGCCTTATCAGTTAGAGGTGGTGACTACAGGACTACAGTGGTCCAGGGCTTGGTGAAAGAGGCTGGAACCAGGGAAATTTTGTTTGATACAAAATCTCACTATGTAGCTATGGCTGGCCTAGAACTCATAGAGATCTGCTTAGCTCAGCTTTCCAAGTGCTGGGATTGTACCCCCACATCCATCCCACCTAATATTTATTTGACATTGAGTAGATAGCTATAAAAAAAAAATGAGCATACAAGTGGTGGCACACACCTTTAATCCCAGCAAGCAGATCTCTGAGTTCAAGGCCAGCCTGGTCTACAGTGTGAGTTCCAGGACAGCCAGGGCTATACAGAGAAATCCTGTCTTGAAAAAAACAAAACAAGAAACCCAACAAAAAAAATGGGCATACAAATCAAACATTTGATGATAATAAATCAAAGAAGTTTGTTTTAAATATGGCTGGGGATACGGTTCAGCTTGTAGAAGGCATGAACCCTGGGTTTGATTCCCAGAACTACAAAAGATGCCATCCATCCCAACCTAAGTGGCTAAGAAACATGTAAATAGATTCCTAGAACAGTTCTTTGGTATACATATAATTTTACCATTTATTAGAGACAAAAGAAAATTTGCATACTAATGAAACGGACGTGCTTGTTCCTCTAATACAAAGATATGCTGAGGAAGTCGGATTTCTCTTTGGATTGCCAGCTCACAAATAATGACACAAAGACTTATTATTAATTATGAAATCTTGGCCTTAGCTTAGGCTTGTCCCACTAGCTCTTTTTTTAAAAAAATATATTTATTTATTTATTTATTATGTATACAGTGTTCTGCCTGCATGTGTCCCTGAAGGCCAGAAAAGGGCACCAGATCTCATTACAGATGGTTGTGAGCCGCCATGTGGTTGCTGGGAATTGAACTCAGGACCTCTGGAAGAGCAGTCAGTGCTCTTAACTTCTGAGCCATCTCTCCAGGCCCCCACTAGCTCTTATAACTTAAATTAATCCATTTATTTTAGTCTATGTTCTGTCCCATGGCTCATTACTTGGTTGAGGCCAGCCTGGTCTATAGAACTAGTTCCAAGACAGCCAGGGTGACACAGAGAAAAATCTGTTTTTGTCTAGAGGGGACAAAGGGTGTCTTGTTGTGGAATATTATTTTAAGATGGGTTACATTTGTTTATGCTGTGGAACATTTGTTTAATGATGCAAAGATGTGTTGCATTCTTTTATGTTGCATTTGTTTAACTCTGTGAAGCTGTGTTACTTTGACTGTCTAAAACACCTGATGGCCTAATAAAGAGCTGAATGGCCAATAGTGAGGCAGGAGAGGGATAGGCGGGGCTGGCAGGCAGAGAGAATGAATAGAAGGAGGAGGAAAGAGTGAGAGGAGGAGGAGGAGGGGGGGGGGCTCCAGGGCCCAGCCACCCAGCTACACAGCAAGCCACAGAGTAAGAAGTAAAGAAAGATACAAAAATAGAGAAAGGTAAAAGCCCAGAGGCAAAAGGTAGGTGGGATAATTTAAGAAAAGCTAGCAAGAAACAAGCCAAGCTAAGGCCAGGCATTTATAAGAAATAATAGGACTCCGTGTGATTTATTTGGGAGCTGGGTGGCAGGCCCCCTAAAAAAGTAAAAAGCAGAAAGAGTAAGAGTAAAAAAAAATCCAACAATAGTGTCTCATGAATATAATTTAATGTAATGTTAGGTTTGAAGAGGAGAAGAACTAGAAGGTCACCCTCAGGAAGACAAGCACAGCCTCGCAATGGCTTGAGATCTCAGCACTTAGGAGGCAGAAACAGTAGGGTGGAGACTTTGAGGCAAGCCTGGAATACATAGACCCTGTCTTATGTGGGTTCCAGGAATGGAATTCCAGTCACCAGACTTGAACAGAAAGTGCTTTACCCACTGAATCTTCTCGGTGCCCCTCAAGACCCTTTCTTTAAGAAAAAAAAAATGAAAAAGAAAAAGACAAGCAGGATTCTGACTTTAGAATCCATAGGACCAGCTGTATAATGAATGGCAAAATATGAGATGTAGGTATATTGGAAAAGAAGGAGAAAAGATAAGCTCAGCTTTTCATAGGGAGAGTTTAATCTGTCTTGGATACAGTAGGAGTATATTTAGAATATACTCTATTTAGAATATTGGCAGGTATGAGGGAGTCCTCAATATGAAGTCAGACTTTAGGACCCAGAGAAGATATACAAAACAGAGTGAGCTGGCTCCTGAGACATTAGTGTTTATAGGATCATGGGAGAGAAAAGAAGCAGTGGAAGCCCCCGAGGAATGCTGAGAAAATATGGAAAAAGAGACAAGTGCCAGGTCACAGAGATCAAAACTGGAGTTTGTTTCAGGCAGTAGGGACAAGAGGTCAAAATATACTCTAATAGCACAATGATTAATATATTGCGGTGGGGGCTGGAAAGACGGTTCAGTGGTTAAGAGTACATACTGCTCTTGCAAAGGTCTCAGGTTCAGTTCCCATCAACCACTCAAAGTGGGTCACAGTTAGCCTCAGGGGGTTGAGCCCCCTCTGCTGGCTTCTAAGGGCATCGCACTCATCTGAACTAATCAACTCACACACTTACACAACAACAAAAGATACTGTGAAGTTGGGCACAGTGGTGTGCATCATTAATTCTAGCACTTGGGAGGCAGAGGCAACGGGACCGCTGAGCTTGAGGCCAGCTTGTTCTACAGAGTGAATTCCAGGACAACCAGAACTACACAGAGAAAGCCAATCTCTCAAAAAAAAAAAAAAGGAAAAACAATAGTGTGGCATTGAGCTGGAGGTGTAGCTTAGTGGTAGAATGGTTGCCTAGCAGACATGAGACTCTTGGTGCAGGCACTGTGTGGGAAATTGATAATAAAAGAAATTAAAAGTTAGGAACCCAAATCAGATAGGTGTATATGTAGATCTTCGTATACGATGGTGGCAACTTTTTCAAGTAAAGAACACAAGACAAAGCCAGGTCTGGTGCTGAAGGCCTGTAATCCCAGCTAATGAGGCAGGTGGATCACAAGTTCAAGACTAGCCTGGATAACCTAGCAAGACTCTTTCTCAAAATAAAAAAGTAAAAAATAGGGTTGGGGATATAGGTGTACAGTAGAATGCTTGAGAAACAGGAATGGGGGAGATCCATTAAAAAATAAAATTAGGTCAGGCGGTGGTGGTGCATACCTTTAATCCTAGGGAGGCAGAGGCAGGTGGATTTCTGTGAGTTGGAGGCCAACCTGGTCTACAGAGTGAGTTCTAGGACAGCCAGGGCTACACAGAGAAACTCCTGTCCCAGAACACACACACATACACACCAAAAACAAAAAATACCTGAAAATCACTGCAGGAAGCTAGCAGATTAGCACAGTGGAAGAGTCTGTGCCTATCAAGCACTGAGGCTCTGGGTTCAATTGTTAGTATAAATAAAAAACAAGCAGGGCCAGCAAGATGGGTAAAGTGGGTAAAGCCACTTCCTGCCAAGTCTGAATTCAAGTCCCAGAACCCATTGGATAGAGCAGAAGATTCCTGCAAGTTGTCCTCTGATCTCCACATGTACATAGTGTACACACTATGCGTACATAGTGTACATGCATGCACATGGACTAAGAATTTAATACATTTAATTTTTAACTATGTGTATGTTTGTAATTGGGATTGTAAGTGTGGCGTGCTTGGAGGGCAGAAGAGGGTGTCAGGTCCACTGGAGCTGGAGTTCAAGGCAGTGCTTAGTCACCTAATATTGGTGCTGGGAACTGAACTCTGGAAGAGCAGCAAGAGCTCTTAACCACTGAGCCATCTCTCTAGCCCCAAGTGTAAAAAATTTTTAAATCTCCTCAAAGATATATTGGGTAATAATTTATAACATAAGAGGTTGACTTAAGGATGACTGGAAACCAAGAAAGCAGAGGTAAAGGGGTGCTGTAAGTCAGAACATACAAAGGTGCCATTCACAAAATGCATATGCATACAAAGGTACTACATATAAAAGCAAATGACTCATTACCACCCAGGAAAAATATTTGCATGTGATGTGTATATAACCACAGTATGTATTATAAATAAATACACATCCTATAGCCAACCACCTCATAAGCAACCCATGCAGGAAACTGATCTCTTACATTCCCTCCATTCCCCAGGACCCTGATCTCCTCCTCCTCGAAGACATCCTGTTGGCCTGCTCCTCTGTCAGCCTTCACTTCTGTCTGTGGGTAGGTCAGTGGTTCAAGAATGGGTTATCCCCTATCACCTCTTAAAAGAAGGTCTCCACTAAGGGGATATGGGGAGTGGGATGGGTGGAATGAAATTGTGTGTTAAAAGTGGACTGCTGGAAGATCCATGGATATTTAAAAAAAACAACGTTATCCATTCAGTGCAGCAGGTTCCAGCTCTTGAGGGCAGCTGTTCTGGCCCAGGGCTGCTAGTAGTGATAAGGTGTGGGTGTGGGTGGGGTATATCTCTACATTTCAATTCCCATCCTTTGGGATCTCTTGGGTTCTTTAGTCTCAGTCTATAAAAACAGTTTTCCTGATCTTCCTGGGCTCCCAGCTAAGGCTGTCCTCAACCATACAGGACATACAGAAAAGACACCTGCTTTCCTCCCTGAAGACCAGCGCAACTGGCTAGACCTTCAAGGCCTTTTTTCAGATTTTGGTTCTTCTGATCTAGCAGGTGTGGAAGTTATCTAATGTGGACAGCAACTACATGCTCAATAGACCCATCTTCTTCCATGTGGACCTATGAGGACACACACTCGACTGGGTCTGAACTCCTGCAGAGAGTGCCAGAGGTAAGACACTGTTGCTGTTCCTAGTTTACCGAGGAAACTTTAGAATTCTGGAAGCAAAAGCTGTTTAATTTCTTGGCTATGGATGAACACCTGGTTGTTTGTGCAGAGGTGAGTGGACACACTGTGAGTCATGAGATAACTACGGAGCTAGGATTTGAACCCTGGCGTCCTGACTCTTGGCCATGCACTTCTGTTTCTCCACTCTGCCCCTTTGGTGCCTTTTGTACACTGGTTTATGTCGCTTCCAGAGTTAGTTCTAAAGGACAGGAGAGACGACTTGGCTAGAAAGGCAAGTCAACAATTCCCTGGGGCCCTGGGACAAGTTTCTATTCTTGGCCACTTCCCCCGCCCCCTGGCGGTTGACGTGTCTGGAACCCCAGCTCCGCCCTTCAAGTAGGGGCCAGGCCCCTCCTCCCGATCAGTTTTAAACTAAACTCGTTCTTCCCGGATTGGTTCAACATCAAAACAAAGGGGAGGAGAGATACTTGCTGTAGGCATCCTCAAACCCCTAAAGCAGCAGGCTGGTTTATGGGTTCTGGACACGTGTCTGGCCACCGCGCTGCCTGGGGCTGTTAAAACCAGCCCCCGGACTGTGCCGGCCAAGTAATAAAGCAGTGACTACGGTGCAAGGGTGGCATAATCATCGTCACAATAACAGCTCTAATTATGCTATAACTACCATCTGCCTCCGCCCTGGCTTTTGCCCTGACTCACTCGACAGCACGCCAGCTGTCAGGGAAGAAACTGAGGCAGAAGTGGAGCCAGCAGGCTGTCAGGTCCAACTGTCCTGAATTTTAACCTGTCGTCTGGGATCCGCGCTGAGCAGTCAAACCCAGTTCGATTCTGATATGAGCCCTTTGACTCCGGTGGCTGTCCTCAATATCAGGCCGCAGGACTTTCCTATTGCCTCTAGAAAAGGGGCCGCTAGCAGACCAGGGAATGGAATGCGGACTACAACTCCCCTAGGCTTTTACGCGCAAGGCGCGCCTGCTACCCACGCCCCCGAAACCACCTGCGGCCCTCGTGTAGTGATGCTTCCTGGGAATTGTAGTTCGGGCTCACATTCTTTAGTACGAAATCTCAGGCCCGCGGACTCGGTATCCCTTGATGCTCTGCGGCTTTTTCTGACGCGACCAGGAGGCCAGGGGCGTGGCCTGCGCTGGGCCACACCCCGCTCTCCTCCGGCTGGCCCGACGCGGCGGTGGCAGTAGGGGCGGCGGCAGTGGCGGGGGGGAGGGGTCGGGCGGGGGGCTGGTGGCAGCGGCGGATGGACTCGCGGGTATCGGAGCTGTTCGGCGGCTGCTGCCGGCCCGGAGGAGGCCCGGCCATGGGCGGAAACCTCAAAGCTCGGGGGGCCGGCGGTAGCAGCAGTTGCGGGGGCCCAAAGGGGAAGAAGAAGAACGGAAGGAACAGAGGAGGTAAAACCAACAACCCTCCGTACCTGCCCCCAGAGGTGAGCACCTGAAAAGTGGCGGGGCCGAAAGGAAACTACACCTTCCGGTCCCCAAGACTCCAGGGAGGCGGGACAGAGATAATTAATCCCCCTTTCCGGTGTCAAGACCCCAGGGAGGAAGGACTGGGGAAGAGAACCCCTCCTCCTGTCTCAGGACCCTTTAGAAAAGGTGCGTCAAGACTAGATGATCCTCTTAGGTGTCAGGACCTCGGGAAGGGACTGCCCCTTTCACTAATGTAACCTTTGGAGAAGTGGGGACTGGAATCCTATCCCTTAAGAAGAGCAGAGGGTGTCTGATCCCCTACCGACGCCAGGAGTGGGGAAGGAACACTGTCCTGGGATAAGAAGGCAGGCAGAGTAACCACCGCTGTTCTAAACTTGGTCCACAGGGAGAAGGGGAGTAGCCAGGACAAGAGCAATGTGTTCTCTCTCTACCTCTTGGTACTCACACACACAAAACCAGAGAACAGTTAGACGTAGCCCTCTGCCTTTCCCTTGTCCTGTTGCGGGGTGGAGACAGAGAAGAGCCCCCATATACCCACTCCATGAGTCCTTAAGGCAGAGAAGATTACTTTCCTTCCTCTTTAGATAGGAGAACCCAGCTGATCAGTGGTGGTGCACACCTTTAATCCCAGCACTCAGGAGGCAGAGGCAGGAGGATCTCTCTGAATTCTATGCCAGCCTGGTCTACACAGCGAGTTCCAGGACAGTCTGGTCTACACAGAGAAACGTTGTTTCGAAAACCAAAGTGGGAAGGGTTATCAGACTTTTAAGTATATATCAGAGTTAACCAGATTGCAGTTCTGGTCATAGAATTTCTGATCCTCAGGTCAATTTCTGATCCTCTAGCCCAGTGAATTTGGCATTTCTTACAAGCTAATGTTGTCGGTCCCAGAACCACACTCTGAGAACTATTGGCGTAGATTATTTTTATCTCATCTGTAAAGTCAACTATCCTAATTGTTCATCTTCAGCAGAAGAGTAAAAAGGTTTCTTTGTTGCTGGGAAAAGAGCTTCTGAACACTCTATGGGGTTAGATTATGGGTAAAGACTCCTAGGGACTGTAAAGATGGCATGATAACAGAAGGGGAAACAGAAAATGAAATGGCCAGAGAGGAGGGATGCAGAAATGCAGAAGGGCAATATGAGCAGATCTCCTAACCTTTTGTACAGGGGCTGGAGGGTGGAGTGAGCACACAGCCCAAAAGGTGGCTGCTGTGAGAACTTATGACATGGATTCAGAGTTTCCCCTCAACTGAGGTATGAACAGGGGTAAAAGGCACAGTCAGTTCAGTTTGCAGGGGCTGTCCCTTTAATACATTGCTCGTTTCTTTCGTCTGTGTGAGCCCCAGCTTTGGAGTTCTGCTCCTCTCTCTGGCCTCCTTCTCAGTGGGATTGTAGTGACCCGTGCTGAGCTCACACTTTGGCTCTGGTCCAGAGTCACTTGTAGCCTCTTACACTTGATGGCATCAGCTGAGAGGGATGGGCAAGAAGGAAGTGGTGTCTACCAGATCCGTGTCAGTCAACAACCTGAACACAGAAAGAAAACAAAACCAAAACCAAAACAGCCAGACTGAACAGCAGTGTTAGACTGTAGAGGGGGTGGCAGGAGGGAGAGGTGATCTTGCATCTAGAACGAACATGCCAGATCTAGGATCCTGTCCTTGCATAAATGGGTGCTTTGCAGTGTCTTTAGAGGCCACATTAGAGCTTGGCAGATTCAAGCACGGGCAGGTGCCACTGAGCTTGCTTCCTGCCTTAGATGCCCTAGGTCACCGGGAATTGAGGAAGTAGGGATTGGGTCTGAACAGGGCGCGCTAACTGCTTCCTGTTTCTTTTCAGGCTGAAGATGGAAACATCGAATATAAAGTGAGTCTTAGGTTGGGGAGGAGAAGGGAATGCCGTAGTTACCCTTGTCAATGTGAGGTGATTTCTTTGATATCCCTCCAACTTCATGCTGCATGGTATCATGCTGAGCTCTCTGAACCTCACTGTGTCAGGGAGAGACACGCTCACTGCTAGTGTGGTCAGGGGTAAGGGTTTTGTTGTTGTTTTTTTTTTAAGATTCTTAACGTACGTGTGTGTGTGTGTGTGTGTGTGTGTGTGTGTGTGTGTGTGTGTGTGTGCTTGCGCGTGCGTGCGTGCGTGTGTGTGTGTGTGTGTGTGTGTGTGTGTGCGTGCGCGCGCGCGCTCGCTCGCTCAATGTATATGCTTCTGAGTACCAGTATCTCAGAGGCCAGAATAAGGTGTCATTTCAGGCATTTGTCAGCCACCTGACCTGAGTATTCTGAACCACTGAACCATCTCTCCACCCCCGGGGGCAAGGGTTTTAAGTGGAAAAGAAAGGTGCTGGTTATTGTAGCAGGACAAGAAGGGACCACCTTTGGAGTTTGGGAGGGACAGCCCTGCTTTCTTCTCCTCATGACTCCACATCTGTCCCAAGCTGAAGCTGGTGAACCCATCCCAGTACCGCTTTGAGCACCTGGTGACACAGATGAAGTGGCGGCTCCAGGAGGGACGCGGTGAGGCTGTCTACCAGATTGGGGTAGAGGACAATGGGCTGCTGGTGGGGCTGGCTGAGGAGGAGATGCGGGCCTCCCTCAAGACCCTGCACCGGATGGCAGAGAAGTATGCTTCCTCCTCCCTCTCTCCCCCAACTTTCGGGAGGGCCCATGCGTACCCAGCCAGCCAGGTCCAGAGGGGCTGGGGTCGGGCCAGGCCCCTCCTAGAACAGTCTCTGACAGAAGGTCAGAGTAAGTCAAGGTGGTGCTCTCACTCCCTCACTGTGCCCCGGCTCCCCATTCCTTTCCATTTAAGATGTTCATTTCAAAAGAGGTGTCCGGGGATGGATTGTACGGTGGTAGGAAGTACAGTGAGGTGGTGTCAGGAGCTCTGTGGTCCAGAGCCAGGCTGGACTAGGGGGAATACATGTGAAATATGGCAGCTGTGGCTTTTCTGTGACAGGGTTGGGGCAGACATCACTGTTCTTCGGGAGCGAGAAGTGGATTATGATAGTGACATGCCCCGGAAGATCACGGAGGTGCTGGTACGGAAGGTTCCTGACAACCAACAGGTGAGCTCGTGCCAAGTCCCATGTTCTCCTCCCCGTGAAGGCTCCGTGGTGTTGGGCTTTTCACTGGCTTAGGATCCTGAGGGTGTGTGCGCTCCAGAGAGCATCGGCACCTTTAACCTTCAGTGTGAGGTGAAGGATTGGAGAATTCACCTCTGCCAATTTCTTCACAGTTCCTAGATCTCCGTGTGGCAGTCCTAGGGAACGTGGACTCAGGGAAGTCAACCTTGCTTGGAGTCCTGACCCAAGGAGAGCTGGACAACGGGCGGGGCCGGGCCCGGCTCAACCTTTTCCGCCACCTGCATGAGATTCAGTCTGGCCGAACCTCCAGCATCAGCTTTGAGATCCTGGGCTTTAACAGCAAGGGAGAGGTGCATGGGATCAGCGGGACCCAGTGGGGCCAGACTCTGAGGATGGGCTGGTAGAGGTGAAGGACAGAGGCTGGGGGCAGGGTACGGAGACCTTTGGAGAAGTCTGAGGGCACTGTGGACAGCTCTCTCTCTCTTAAAAACCAAGTGAGAATCCACGGAATGAAATAGAAAATGGGCTCAAGGTTACGAGACAGGGCTACCTAGGGACTGCTGAAGGGTTGGGGAGGCGCACAGGGACACTGAGAGCCCTGGCCCTGGGCTAGGTGGTGAATTACAGCGACTCACGGACCGCAGAAGAGATCTGCGAAAGCAGCTCCAAGATGATCACCTTCATTGACCTGGCGGGCCACCATAAATACCTGCACACCACCATCTTCGGCCTCACGTCCTACTGCCCCGACTGTGCCCTGCTCCTCGTCAGTGCCAACACTGGAATCGGTACGAGACGCTGAGCAGAAGGGCAGGGCAAAGGGAGGAGCTGACTCTCTTCTGCCCTGAGTCCCCCAGAGCTGGGAGCAACACCAACTCTTCTTTTCCTTCCTCCCAAATTCTCTCTCCTGCCACCTGCCTCCTTTCTGTGAGGTAGCCGGCACCACACGGGAACATCTGGGGCTGGCCTTGGCCCTGAAAGTGCCCTTCTTCATCGTGGTCAGTAAAGTGGACCTGTGTGCTAAGACCACAGTGGAGAGGACAGTACGCCAGCTGGAGCGGGTCCTCAAGCAGCCTGGCTGCCACAAGGTCCCCATGCTGGTCACCTCTGAGGATGATGCTGTCACTGCTGCCCAGCAGTTTGCCCAGTCACCCAAGTGAGCCTGCCTCTCACCCTAAAGCCTTGATGAACAGGGAAGGCTGCCACAGGGTCCAGGAGTATGGTGTCCCACCTCTAGGGCCAGATCCATTCTAGTTCAGTTCTTCAGCTGTTTCAGTTTGGGATTGTGGGAGGGAGTTAACCCGGAGCTTTGCTGATGCCTGGGACCTTGGAGACATTAACTGTCCATATTCCCTGGCTTGCTCAGTCAGAAAGGGGCTGTCTGCTCACCTTTTAATGGGGGGCCTCTGGCCACTGCTCCCGCTAGGACAGTTCTCACTTAGGCATTTGTCTCCACAGTGTCACCCCTATATTCACACTGTCCAGTGTGTCTGGAGAGAGTCTGGACCTTCTCAAAGTCTTCCTGAACATCCTGCCCCCACTTACCAACAGCAAAGAACAGGAAGAGCTCATGCAGCAGCTGACAGAGTTCCAGGTGGTCGGCCTATCAAACAGAAGGGGGGGCAGGGCGGAGGGAGGGGGTGCAGGGCAGTTCTGACAGAGCCTGAGCGAGTTTACGAAGGTGGCAGGACACTGACTGAGTTTTCTTTGACTCTAGGTGGATGAAATCTACACAGTCCCAGAGGTGGGGACTGTGGTTGGAGGAACACTTTCCAGGTGACTGACTGTCTTGTTGCTACTCAGCCTGCTCAGCCCTCACCTGTACACCCCTGTACTTGACCTCTGGCCTGAAGGAGGCCCTGGGTTGGGCTGAGCTCATGTGCAGGGCGTGATTGTTTGCAGACTAGCTTTCACTCACAGACTTAGAGGAAGCTTAGAACTCTTGGCTTATGAGAGAGAAATGGCATTGCTACTTTAGGGAACTCTCCAGGCCCCTAGAGCATGGTCATGGGCTCTAGGGGGAAATGGTGCATTCACCTAACATCTCAAAGCAGGGAGATGAGGAAGAGACTCTTAATGAAGCACAGCATGAAACCTAAGGGTGTAACTTGTTCTTTCGTGAGCTGGTGCCAGCCAAGCCACAGGTGTGCCTCTGCCCGCCATTACTGCTGGCCTTTAGAATCTGAATGCTAGGCTGGACAAGGCAGTCATCTCTCTACTTCCAGGCTGGAATTTAGGGTTCTTTTGCCCCAATTCAAGGGCAAGGGTATTCTGAGTGACCCTAGCGGAAGAATCAGAGGGACCTATGCTGATACTGTACTACCTGCTGTCTGGGCTGCAGTGGGATCTGCCGTGAGGGAGACCAGCTGGTGGTAGGCCCGACAGATGATGGCTGCTTCCTGGAGCTGAGAGTATGTAGCATCCAGCGCAACCGCTCTGCCTGCCGTGTGCTGCGAGCTGGTCAGGCTGCTACACTAGCCCTCGGAGACTTTGACCGCGCATTGCTTCGCAAGGTGAGGCGGACAAGTGGGTTGGAGAGGGAATGCAAGTGTCTGGAAGACTGGATGCTGAATGAGAAGCATGTGGAGAAACCCAAGGAAACATGGCCTCTAACTCGGGAGTGTAGGCCTGGTTATATAGACTGTTGAAAGGGTTGGGATACTCAAAACACAGGTCCCTAAATTTGGGTACCATGGTCTTCTGAGGCCTTTCTTTGGAGGTATATAGAAGAAAGGGGGATTCAGGAGTTCTAAAGGGTGTAGAGTGGCTGGAAATAGTCTAATGCCAGATCTGCCCTTCTTGGATCTGCGGCTATGCCTCCCCAGGGCATGGTGATGGTGAGCCCCGAGATGAATCCCACCATCTGCTCAGTGTTTGAAGCAGAGATAGTCCTACTGTTCCATGCCACCACCTTCCGGCGGGGATTCCAGGTGACGGTACATGTGGGCAATGTACGGCAGACAGCAGTGGTGGAAAAGATCCATGCAAAGGTGAGAAGGACCCAGCCATGTCTCCATTTCTGCAGAGAACGTCCGTGTTCTGCCTCCATACAGGAGGGAGCCCTGCCATCACACTTGCCTGCTGAGAGTTACCTGAGCCCATCCACCTGGGGGCCTCTGGGGTGGAGCCAAGGCTAACAGAGAACGGGGGATGGGAGGCACTGGCCAGGGCTGTGACCACTTTTCTCCCAAAGGACAAGCTGCGGACAGGGGAGAAGGCAGTGGTACGTTTCCGTTTCCTGAAACACCCAGAATACCTGAAGGTGGGCGCCAAACTGCTGTTCCGGGAGGGTGTTACCAAGGGCATCGGTCATGTCACGGATGTGCAAGCCATCACAGCAGGAGAAGCCCAGGCCAGCATGGGCTTCTGAGTCCTCAAAACAGCTCTGCCGCTGTCCCTACAATACATGAGGTGACTTCCAGCCATGCTGCCCACCGTCGGCGGTGGCTCTGTGTGTTAATAGGCTAGACAGAGTGTCGGCTGCCACTTGCTTCGTGCCGCCTTTCTGGAGAGGTGTCAAGCGTGGTGTGGCCAGGGAGAGGCAGTTCTGAGGGAGAAGACAATTCAGGGCAGTTCTCAGCTGTGTGCCCCCTGGTTGGCTCATTAACCCTGGCAGCTGCATGGTCTTGTCTACTGGAGGGAGCGATGCATAGCCATCTTGGGGCCACTATCAGGACTGGGCATGACTCACCAGTGTGACCTCTGCACTTCAGGAATTGTCATAACTGGGGTGGCCCTTGAAAGCACTTCTTTTTTATACCTCCTCTCAAGGCCATGTAAGTTGCCCATCTCTACCTGACTGTGGATAAAAGACAGTGCTCCTGGCCATCTAGGGGACCCAGGGACTGAAGAAATGGCACAGAGACCGTGAAAGACTGTGTTCCTACCCTGTGTTGAGTCCTGATGCATATTCCTGGCTTTATTTTGTTGTCCTTCACTTAAGGGCCATTTCCCCAGATCCTCCTGTTAGAGGCCCCACTTGGTGCTATTTGTGGTGCTGGCCCAGGCGTGGGGCTGCCAAGCTAAGGCTTGGCACACCAAAGGCCAGCTGCATGTCAATCAGTTTCTTTTTCTCTGCAGGTCATCTGTTGGTTTTCATGCTAGATCAAATAGTATGTTTTCCTTTCCCAACCTGGTAGCTGCAGAACCTGACCCACAGTTGTGCATCCTGGCATCCTCATCCCCATTCCTGCTCCCACATAAATTTTCTCTGGTTTTAGTAATTTGTAGTGACTACCCCCTTCCCTCTGTGGCCGGGAACCAGGAGGAAAGGGAAAGATAGCATTCTAGGCATGGACAACCTCCTTTCCCTTTGCTAGTATCCTGGGTTCCCACGAACTCAGGGATTTGTTGGTTGAAGATTCTCTCTGCACATGTGTGTATATATATATGTATATATATTTAAATACACATATATATTGTACAGAATAAAAAATGTTTTATTGGACACTCTGTGCTTCTGCTTAAGACCCAGGTTCAGCCTCCAAAGCTAGATTCGTCTCCAGGATTAGAGACAAGTGACACCCTGCCGTGGTTGAACTCTGAATGGGGAAAGAAGTCCTCCCTTATCTCAGTGGCCATTCTTTTCATCTCCCCCACAGATCAGCATTGCGTGTTCTGACTTGTTTTGCTTCATTCTTCAAGTGAGCAGAGCATAAAGTGGAAAGGCCTTTTCAACTCCAAATAGCTAGCTCCACTGTACTCAAGTTGTGTACCTGTCAGTCCTTAGAGTACCAGCCCTTCAGGATGAAGACTCAGAGATGAATGGTAATGCAGTCCTCACACTTCACTTTTAGAGACTAGATTCTTGCAACATCGAGGGCACGTAAGCTAAACCTCAGTCCTTCCTATTTCTGTGTTCAGACTGTCATGGATTTTGGAATCCATGCTAACTAGATACTACCATTGAGCTCTATTCCCAGCCTTTCTGACTACCCCATATTAAGTAGGGTCTAAGGCAAAAGTAGGAACTCTTGAATACTAACCCTGGCAAAGCAAATGATACATGTGGTCCAAAGCCTTGTGCAGCATTCTGCCTCTAGAGGTTTTGTTTTTTTGTTTTTTGAGGTAAGTCTCTAGCCCAGGCTGGCCTTGAACTATGTAATTGAGGGTGATCTTTTGATCCTCTACCTCTCAACTGCTGGGGTTGCAGGCATGGCTCATGCCTGCTTTTATCCCATGCTAAGGTTCAAATCTAGGTCTTGTGAATTTTAGGCACCAGCTGAGCTATATCTACTTCTAGTACTTTTAGACAGGCTCTTGGTTATGTGACCTTAACACACGGTAGTTCTCCTACCTCAGCCTTCTCCCTCAACTAGGATTATGTGCCACCATATCTGACAGGGTTTTTAAAAAAATACCACTCGGGAGGCAGAGACAGGCAGATCTCTGAGGAAAGCCTGGTCTACAAAGCGAGTTGCAGGACAGCCTGGGCTACACAGAGAAACCCTGTCTGGAAAAACAAAAACCAAAAAATACCATTGGCCTAACATGCTACTAAGAAGCCTGTGGTAAATGTCCCCCTGTATTAGAAGCTGTGAGCAGCAAGGAAGGCAAGGTCATCTTGCAGCACAGTGGTACTTCCCCAACACTGACAAAGGTGTGCCTGTCTGCTCTCCTATAGACTACGTACGTACGTAACGTACAGTAGGGCAGGGCTGCCCAAGAAAACAAGGTACACTGCTGGCTTTGCCTGCCATTGGTCCACTCGCCACCCTCCAATGACTCCAACTTATCTCTAGAAATTCAAGTGACACCTAAGTTTCTTCTAGGTGTCTCTCCTGAGACAAGGTCTCATTGAATTACCCAAGCTGGCCTGGAACTTAACTCCAGGTCCTCCTGCCTCCACCTCCAGAATTCTAGGATTACCACATTGTCACATCTAGCTTGTTACTTCTTTTTTAAAAAGTCATGCTAGCCAGGCGGTGGTGGCGCACGCCTTTAATCCCAGCACTCGGGAGGCAGAGGCAGGCGGATCTCTGTGAGTTTGAGGCCAGCCTGGTCTACAAAGTGAGTTCCAGGAAAGGCACAAAACTACAGAGAAACCCTGTCTCGGGGGGAAAAAAAAAAAGTCATGCTAGGCAAGTACTCTACCACTAGGTTACATCCCAATACCCCTTTTTTACCCCCCGACCTTTAAAAATAAACGTTTAAGATTTATTTATTTTATATATATGGTGTTCTGTCTGCATGGATGCCTGCAGGCCAGAAGAGGGCATTAGATCCCATTATAAATGGTTGTGGGCCACCATGTGGTTGCTGGGAATTGGACTCAGGACCTCTGGAAGAGCTGCCAATGCTCTTAACTGCTGAGCCATCTTTCCAGCCCCCAACCCCCTACCCTTTTCATGTAGCCCAGGTTGCCTCAGACTTGTTATCTGGCCAGGGATGATTTTAACTCCAGATTGATTCTCCTTCCTCTGCCTTCTATAAAGTGTTGGGATTATAAGCATGTACAAAACACTTGGCCACACATTACTTTTCTCTACAGCTCCTTCCCAGTCACCTCAACTTTCAGAACAACCAAAAAGAGGTGACAGTTGCATAGGCATGCTGGTATACACCTGTGACCCCAGCCACAGAAAACGGAAGTAGGATCACAGTTGTGAGGACAGTCTAACCTCGCCTACCCTCCCAATGTCGAAATCACCAGCAGGCCACATTGTTACAGTCACAGAACATTTAGAGGAATAAAAGCATGCCAGGCAGGTCCTCAGTACATTTTTATTGTCCTAGTTGGGCAATCAGATGTATAATTGTTACTACACACATTCACAATATGAAGAACATAACATGCTATGTGCAAGGCACTGCGAGAATTCTTGCCTGCCTTTAAGAAGCTACTAATTGAGCTGGGGAAAAGTCACAGTGAATTCAAAGAAGGGGTTATGTCCTGCTAAACACAGTGAATTTCAAACCTTCCCCGTGAAGTAAAATACAAAGGCCCAATTTATAAACAAGTAAAATGAAGTTGTATTTATGTATGGGAAGAGAGGTGTGTATGCTTATCTTCCTACTCATTGAACCTACTACCTGGTTTCATATATAATTCAAGGTCATATCAGAAAAGCCTAAAAGATTTAATCCCAACACTTAGGTGGCTAAAGAAAACTACACATTTCACTAAGAAAATTACTTATTAAATCCATTACTTTAGCCTTTTGGATCTGCCCATGTTTATAGTACTGTTTTGTTTTGTTTCCCTCCAGTACTGGGAATTAAATGCTATCCTAGGCCAGTGTTCCACCACTGAGCTATATTCCCAACCCCATTTCCCCCTTTCCTGTTCCAATTTAAAGTTAGGACTTGTTTTTTTCTTTTTTGAGGGGCTGTATCTCTTTAGTTACACCTCTAAATATATCAAAATATACATGTAAATAGTCTTCAGTTTTATAGATAACGAAGTGAGATAGCTCAAAGCTGAAGGAGTCTGCCAAGGCTCTAACACCTTTTATGACAGTGTCTCCCTAAAGCTTAAAAACATTTGGATCAGCAACAGGATCAGAATCCCATTGGAAGAGAGAAACTTAGCCTAATTTTGTATTAAAATATTCGTAGATTCCCTTGAGAAATCAACATGATTCCATCTCAAGTTACAAATAAGATAGTAAAGTTCTCCTGCAAGCCTGAGGCAGCATTAATGTGTTAATGGCTTAAAAAATGATTCCAGTGTCTGCATGCCATGGGGCCTAAGGCGTTTATTACTGGAAGCCAAAGGACTCTTGGAATTTCTTTTGCCTTGAGGAGACATGGCAGGAACAGCCTGGGGTTTTGAAGTGCAAGGCTGTAAAAAAGACTTCTGTAGCTCCAATGCAAAATGGTAGTCAATGTGTTCTGGCATGTCCCACACTGGAACCAGGGAGTCACACTTCTCACAGATCACTTGGTCCTCAGTTGCCCTTTGGGCCACCTCCTCAGAGTTGTAAACTGAAGAATCAACCATGTTTGGACTGTTCCCAGCCACATCTACTTTTGTAGAAATTGCTTTAGAGGATACTGGCTTCAACACTCTTTCACAAAGAGGACCACCATCTGCATACTCTGTTGGAAAACAGCTTGATGCCCCTTCAGAGTCCTTGTGTGGAAGGTAAGGAGCTGAAGAATTCTTCAGCTGTGGCTGCTGTAACAGCAGCCTCTTCCGCTTAAAGAAGGGCTCAATTCCTGCAGTCTGGCTGGTCTGGAATGGTAGCGAGGACTTGGCTGGTGACTTGTCTGTGGACGTGTTAAGAGGTACAAAGGAAGGCTCTTTCATTTTCTGCTTTTCGGCAGCCTTTTGGAAAAAAGACTCCAGAGATGTAGCTGCCTTTTTAGAGGTGGGCAAAGCTGGACCAGTCCCCTGGCTCTTACTTCCAGAGCTGACAGTTGACAACTTTGGCTGACAACTCGAGTCATTGCGCAAGAAGGCGGTGATGTCTGTGCAAGCTGAAGGGGCAGAGGCAGAGAATTTGGTAGCACAGAGGAAGAGCATTGTGAGGGGAGGGGACCTGTGTACAAAGTAATGGAACAAAGAAGTTACCAAGTCACTGTTTTAAGAGCCCAGATTTAACTAATAAATGACTAGTTCTGCTTCTACCACAAAAGGAAATCTTTTTTTTTTTGAGACACGGTTTCTCTGTGAAACCACTCTGTCTGTCCTGAAACTCTATCTGTACACCAGGCTGGCCTTGAACTCAGAGATCAGCCTGCCTCTGCCTCCTGAGTGCTGGTGTGCACAATCACAGGCAGCTTGGGGCTACACAAATTTTATTCAAGGTAACAACAT